TTGCATTCTCAAGCGAGAACACCAATGATTATGAAAACTTGATTTGTCTGGCAAATGATTTCATTATGAGCCCAGGGCACAAATCTTCTTTAGGGCAATGTGTTTGTTTAGTAACATGCTCCAGTAGCTTAATACTACAATTAGTGGCAGCTATAACGGCTCGATCGGTGATTTGAATTGCCGTGTTCGGCACTAAGGGGGCGGGCGAACAAGTGCAAAATTGAAAGTTGGTTCTAGTGACGACTGTCTTTTCGGCCTTAACGTCGAACACGTATAGAGTATAATTTTAGGGTCTGGCGTGCGGAGTGCTGAAGAATCTCTCATGTTTACCATGGGATGTTCCTGACTCTAATCTATCCATGTATGTTGCAGCATGTACTAGGTAGGGTGTTGTACAACATGAGGTGCTCTTGTACTAGGCTTGGCTAAACACTCAACCAAAGCTCTGGGATAATGGTGACCCGTGGATATGAAACTTTCAAATACGTACCAAGTGGTCAAATTCCGCATAGAAATTCCTCCAGACTTCGCCAACAATCCTAAACTTCACAAGATAACCCTAATTATTGCGCAACCTGTTGAGGTTCAACTCAGAATACTCAGATACTAATTTTACTGTTCTTATAGCTCAACGACCATGCTCGAGATGTTTAAGCAATGGGAAGGAGGATACGTGTGTGGATGTTCAACATAAAAAAAGGGGGCGTCCAAGGCTGAGGGATGAGCGCGAGCCTCGATACGAAGGAGCAGGATCGAACTATCCACCGCCGGCAGATACTATGAGAAGACCAATGCCCATGTTCTCTACTGGCGACGTTTCGATTTCGACTCCATATTCTGATGCTCAGCGGAATGGTGGGTATAGAGTGCTCAAGTCGCAAGGAGGAAATCCAATGAACCACTCAATGGTTCCCACACCAATAAACACCAACGTTTACGGGGAAGCGATGACGACAAATCAGCGCATGGTATCTTATGAATCAGCATGTGCATTTCTCACTATGGAAATGCAAATCGCCAAAACAACGCAGGCTTTTTCGGGAGTGGTCGGTGCACACTCGGTCGTGGGAAGAAAGTTACATGATATTGTGAGTGTTAGCGATCGAGATAAGATTTTCCGACTGCAGAGCGGATTTGAAGATGAGCGACGAAGTCGAGATCCAAGTTATCTCCCTCCAATATTTTCGAAAGAGGAGGAAGATAGGGTGATTCAGTCCTTGACATTTGCACCCAACGAGATGCAGCAATTGAGAACCGATCGACCGGAAGTCTTTACGTTCCAGACACCAGACGGTCAGCAGAGGGGCTTTCACGTGCAATTGGGCCTCGCGAAAAAAGATTCGATTTATTTTGTGCTTTTGGTGGTTCATATCCCAACCACGCCGCAATCGTTCCAACAAGCATCTTCGCCGTATTCGAGAGACTCCTTGTCTCGTGACTCCACTTATGCATACCAAACCCCGAGCCAACTATCCTATGCCTCTCAAACCCCAGGAACCTCGCCGTTCATGTCGAATCCTCCTTTTGGGAGCGATATGTTAGCATATCGAAATCCGGGACCTCCAGCGCAAACCGTCGCCATGCCAAACAGTAACTCTTCATATGGACAACCCCCAACAAGAGCGCCGGAATATTCCCGCGCGCAAATGAATTACCCACAAGCGCCTATGGGTGAGATGTTATCAGGCCAAACACAACCCCAAGCACAACCACCACAGCAAGCACAAGCACAACCACCCTCACAACTCCAAACCCAGACTCAAACTCAACGAGCCTCGGATCTGCAACTCCCGCCCATACGTGGACAGGCACCTCCGATGGATGTCAGGGGACAGGGTGATCGTAGTAGTCGGGTGGATATCGGTGGACTCCTGCAAAATCCGGATCCCTCTCGAAGAAGGAAATAATCCCCATACACGCGGGCGGGCGGGCGCCATTTAATTAATTAACACTTGAACACCATGTGCACATCGATCTCTATCTCTATCTCTATCTCGCCCCCTCTCTCGCTTTCCGATCTTGTGATTTTTAAGGAACGAGAATTTAATATTTCATTCTTGGCGGATTGGATTGGATTAAATGCGATAGGATAGATGGATGGATAGGTTCACGTTTAGGTTTTGGAACGAACGGTCGGGAATTCACGTCTTGTGTTCCACCTCTCAAGCAGGCAGGCAGACATGCATTTGAAAACTTACAAGACGGGAGTTTAAAGGAGGACAAGGGATTTTTTTTTGAGGTGTTTCATCCTTCGTGTTGTTATTATTCATCTTTTGATTCTTGTATTATATATTTTATTGTATGCATGCATGCCGAGCCAAGTCAAGTCGAGCCAAATTTATGTTATGTCATGTTATGCTATGCAATTCTCATCCTTCGTTGTCTCGTGGAGGGAAAAATTCCAACCGCATATTTACATATACATACATGTTTATCTGTTTGTTGTATATTTTCATTGTTATAATTATCAATTTTTTGAGCGGGATTTATATATATATGTTTTGTGCGATGATTTTCTTGGGGGAATGGAATGGAATGGAATGGAATGAAACTTTGAAGAAGATGTCTCATTCGTTGCATAGGTAGCTGGCGGACTGTGAGTGACTCTTCTTTCGATCTTTTAATATATGTCTCTGCGAGGATTATGATGCGGGCCGCGGGCGTTTTATCTGGTTGGGTTGGGTTTAATTGGGTTGGGCTGGGTTGTTATGTGTATGTGGATTTTTTTGTGGTGTGCGGATAGGGAGGTTCTTGTGTGAGAATCGATAGCAGGAAAGAAGGTTGTATGATATTTGTTTATTCTCTGGTTTGTTTGTTTGTTGAGTGATTGATTGATTGGGGTTTGAGATTTGGTTTTGACTTTGGACGGATGGATGGATGGATGGATGGATGGATGGATAAGAGAATGGGAGAAATTGGGATTTGGGTACAGGCTTGGGGTTGGGGTTGGGATTGGGTTTAGAAATGGGTATGGAAATGGGTATAGGGTATTGGGTATTGGGAATGGGATTGGGTTGAATTTTGGTGGATGGGGGAGGGTGGTCCATGAATGAATGAATGAATGAATGAATGAATGAATGAATGGGCGAAGGAAAGGGTTGAGGGGGTTGTGAAACGAAGAGATGATGAAGATGGTGATGGTGATGGAGGATGAAGGAGTGGAAGGGAGGAGGTGGTTAAGAATGAGCATGAGATTGAGATTGAGCTAGATGATGATGCATACGATTATTAATAGTCAAAGTGGTGGAGATGATAGGAAATTTTGAAGATTTTTATAAGTTCTAACAAGTCCTTAAGTTTTTAAGCTTCTGGGGAGACGCGATGAGAGAGGAGGTGTGTTTTGATGAGGATTTATGAGGTTTCTGTTTTTGCGTGGTGATGTGATGTGATGGCATGTGTATGATGTGATTTGTACGCAATTCTATACTTCAAGCGAAGAGGGGTGAGGAATTGAGATTAGAGGTTGGGTTTTAGGTTCAAGGATTCTATGTACAATGGTCCGAGAGGATCCGAGAGAGAAATGGGTTCTAGGTGTCTGCATGCCTATGCAAAATTCTTTATATATGCCGTTGGAAGATTGATCGACGGTTGACTGGTTGATACTTGATAGATTGGGGATTTGGGTAGTTTGACTTTGATATTGGGGTTGGGGTTCTTCTTTTGTTTTTGGTTGTGGGTTGGGTTGGGTTGGGTTGATTTGTTGGAGAATCTAGAGGATAGAGATAGGGGTGTTTGTTCATTCGTTTGTTCGTTTTTCCTGTGGGGAAGCTGGGAAGCGGGGAGGGAGAAGATGATTGGGGGTTGGTGTTTTGATTTGATTTGATTTGTGAGTAAATCCACTTGTGGTTGTATTGGGGATTGGGGTCATAGAGATTCTAAGGCTGTAAAGTGGTGCGTGTGTGGGTGTAGTCGAGATAGATAGTGGATGAATGAGTGTTGGAAAGGAAAGGGGAGTTGAAATGATGGGTAGGTATGATGAGTGAGTATGCGTATGGTGAGATTGGATGACTGATCATTGGAAAAGAGTAGTCTTGCTAAATGCACGGAGGGTGATTAAGGAAGATTCGACAAGGGTGTGGTGATTGGTTGGGTATGCTGTTGTTTGAGGAAGGGTTGAGTTTTTGTTGGGATAGTGGACTAATGGATCGGTCTAAGTCTTCAACCATTCATGTTGTCCTACTTTTTCTGTCGGTAGAGGGATGGGAGCACTTATTAGCCTGTTGATAAGTGCTTCAGTTAGGTCCTAAGATATCATAGAAAACATGCTAATCTGTCGTAGTACCTGGTTCAGTCAGCACGTCAATAAATATTGCCGTTTTCTTCGCGAATTGATTGCTCTAAAAATTTCCCGCGAAAGTCAGCAAGGGTTCTGTCACTACAAATAGATCTTACCATTCTCTGTTTTTGTCCATCGCTAATTGCTGTTCTACGACTACGTAGGATGGTCTATTTGCCTGAAACGCTACGTAGTATGAAGTACTACAAATAGTAGCGAGAGGGGTTTACGGTACGGTCTAAAATCGCATAAAACAATTTAAACATAAACAAGGCTGACCATACATTATAGTAATTCTGATTGACTAAATCTTCGAATATATAGTAATTGCATGGTCAAAAATCATATGATTTCCAATCATATGATCTAATCGAGGATAGTAGCAGCGAGGGGGATGGAGGGATGCACAAAGCGCGCCCACTCGCCCCCGAGCGCGGTCCCTCTGAGCTTCAGGCTCTGTGTGTACTGCACACGTCATTTATTTGCCTATATAGACAGTCTCTTTTTCCAATCGCTAGCATATCATGGGATGTAGGCTAAATACCATATATCGTTATCCTACACACGCAATCTGGTCAGCTGCGAGGAAATTTCACGTGCTGCTGACGACCCCGCACTTAAGAGTAAGCAACTCTGCCTTTAAGATCACTCTACTAGCCTCTCGTCTCCTGACCATCCATGAGAACAGTCTTGTGTTGATATTTGATCTCTGATATCATCTGCTATGTCTGCCTACCCATATTCATTGCTTCCGGCAAACGGCGAGATCATTCGCCTGCTTCGATTATTACCAAGTGAAGATGAGGCTGCACCTTTACATTGTGAGCTTCAAGATTATTCTCTACGAAGATCAACTACACGAGCTCACTTGTATGAGGCTCTATCCTACGTATGGGGTGATCCAGACATCACCCTGCCTATCTTTGTAGGCAAGAAAAAGTTTCAGGTTACGGTGAACCTATATGCTGCTCTGTTACGTCTTCGAGATCACTCTTTCGAACGGATCCTATGGGTTGATGCTATATGTATTGATCAAAATAACAATGAAGAGAGAAGACAGCAAGTTCGGATTATGGCAAAGATTTATAGCAGCGCACATCGCGTTATAGTTTGGCTGGGAGACGAGGAAGAAGAGGGAAAGGGTGCCCTTGAGGATATACAGCTTGCTATTGATGAGGAGTATACAGAAAACTCGGAGATTCGGAGAGAAATGGTAAAGCAGGAAAAAATATCAAAACTCCTTCAAAATCCATGGTTTCAACGTATTTGGGTAAGAAACATACCTTAACCATAATTGCTAGACGATATTGACATAATCACTTCAGGTGCTTCAGGAGGTTGCCGCAGCTCGACATATAATAATCATGTGTGGCTCTATAACTATTGACGGATATGCATTCTGCATGGGGGTGAAATCCCTAGAGCTCTCTTGTTCAGATTCTCCGGGGCTGCAGACTCTTCCTTCAGTTGTTGACATAATAGAGGGAGCTGGTCTCCGACCTAAACTTGAAGCAACTTTTTCAGAAAGGTTCTCCCTAGAGATACGATCTTTAGCTGAATTGATAGACATGTTTCATACCCGCCGAGCCACTGATCGTCGCGACAAGGTTTATGCTTTACTCGGTATGAGCTCTGACGATCCGGAAAAGGCTGGCTTGCAGCCCAGTTACGAGGCTTCCTGGGAAGATGTATTCCAGCAAGTTGTCAACTTCATTCTCGGTAAAGATATAACTGTGAGTACTTCCAGTCAGAGAGCGGTTATCCAGTGCAAAGGCTTAATCTTTGGCCAAGTATCCTCGGTAAGAATGAACGATGGACAGCACGTGAGTATCAAATCCAGACTCGGTGATTGGGACTTGAGTGACATAACAGAATGGACCCTTCAGGCTTCGGCAAAACCTATTCAAGAGCATGATATCATCTGTCTCATATATGGGGCTTCAAAGCCTACAATAATCAGGCTATGCCACGATCACTATATCGTGATTGTTATTGCAGCAACTCCCTTAAACGTGCTGACCCGTTATGATTGGCCTCAGGTCTCTCAATCAAAGACACAGTTCTTGCGGGATTTTCTCCTTATCTGGGACTGGGAGAATTCTTATGAAGTTTTACAAGACCAAGAAGGATATAGGACATTAACAAAGACATATAGTCAAACGATAGTTTTTCCAATAGTGGAGTCCAGAGGATATTTACATGAAGCAACTAGATTGTGGAACAATATAGCGATATTAGAGGACCTGAAAGAATATGAAAAAGCAGATGAGAGGCTTCTAGAAGCAAGAAGTGGCTACATGGCAGCTTTTGAAAAAGGCCCCCTGCTTCGGCCGATTGGTGAAGGTGGTCGAACACTACTGTCATTCGCTGCTGGAGAAGGTCACGAAGATGTTGTCAAGCTGCTGCTTGGAAAAGTTGATCCAGACATAAAGGATAGTATATATGAGCAAACTCCGCTATCTTTTGCTGCCGAGAATGGACATCAAGCTATTGTTAAGCTACTACTTGCAACCGGTCAGGTTGAAGCTGACTCGACGGACAACTTTGATCGAACGCCACTATGCTGGGCTGCTAAGGAAGGGCACGAGTCTGCTGTCAAACTGTTACTCGCGATTGACCAGGTTGAAGTTGAATCAAAGGATAAAAAGGGTCGAACGCCGCTGGGCTGGGCCGCTAAAGAAGGGCGTGAGTCTGTTGTCAAACTTTTACTCTTAAATGACCGGGTTGAAGTTGACTCGAGGGATAAAAAAGGACGGACGCCGCTATGCTGGGCTGCTAAAGAAGGGCATGAGTCTGTTGTCGAATTACTACTTGCGACTGGGCAGGTCGAAGCTGATTCAAAAGGTTCATTCGGGAAAAAACCGCTCTCACTCGCTGCCGAGAATGGGCATGAGGCTGTCGTCAAACTACTATTGGCGACTGGCCAGGTCGAAATCAACTCGAAGGATAATTTTGATCGGACGGCGCTATTTTATGCCACTCGGAACGGGCATGCGGCCATTGCTAAGCTATTAAAGAATTAAGTTAAGTAATACTACCTATTAACATAACATATGGTAAATCACCTGTGTATCTTTCAAAAGCTACTTGAACACTCTTATACTCTGAAAGTCGAAGCTATTCTATTCTCATATCTCTTAGATTGCATACATTACCTATAGATTCTATATTTAAGACTATAGGCTATGTACCCTATAGCTCATAGTAGGTAGCTAGAATTCAAAGAAAAATTTAAACCTCAAAAGGAAAAGTGGTAGTATAGACCTATAATTTACTCTCCTCCTATTGATTCCAATGTCTCATTATAGAATCTACTCTTGCTTTAACTATATAGAATCTAGCTTAATATAACTAGAATCTAGTATAGAATCCACGGATTACGAAACTAAAACTACTTCGACTTTTGGAATATAGAAGTATTTACTATATATTATATGAGAGAACTCAATAGTATTTATTATAGAAGTAGAATACAGGAACTAAAACAGAGTACTTTACGATATATTCATCATGAACATATGATACAAAAAAACAAATACCAGGAACTTCAACATAGAAATAAAACAGTGAATATATTAGTACATCCTACTACATATAATCATTCTCAAGAGAACTAAACGATTTGTAAGCTTTATTTCTATATCTAGTAGAAGAGCAAATCTGAATCAAATAGTTGATCGGCTTCCTGATATGCTTTATATTCGAAATCGATGTTGGGAGTGAATGGAGAAATACGTATGTTCACGGGTCGTGGAGTTGTTTGTGTTTTTGATAAAGTGTGTGGGGGATCTGCATACTTTGAGATATGACGTGACGCCTCTTAGACTGAGAATTAGTTATTGATTTTACCCACGTAGTTGTAGTTGAGCTAAAGATCTTATTGATGTTTTAGGTCTTTCAGGTCTACATCTAACGTCTAACATCTAACATCTAACATCTCACGTCTTTCGATTTTGATTTTGATTTTGATTTCGTTATACAACTTTTCTATCTATTTAATAACGATAGTAGAATGAACAGAATCGGAGCGAGTATAGAAATGTTTGTTAACATGCCAATCTAGATATGTCAGCGAGTATTGTGTTGTTCGGAAAAACAAAGTCATCGTGGGACGACGCTACTGAAGTCTTGTCGTCATCATTCCTGTCAACAACAACAAACCCCGGATATGTAAACTGTCTGATAAATACAACACAATGTAACTAACTCATTTTTCAAACCTTCTTCCGGACATGCGAATGTACATGTTGATATCTTAACATTCCAATGGTTTGATTCTTCACATCAATCAAATCAAAATGCCTCTTGACGCTCGTTCTCCTGTGATTTTACACTACCTTCAGAATCTCTTCCTCATTACGCTTTGCGCAGCATTCACTCCTCTCTTGACATCGATAGCTATACTCTCTACCCTCCTATCACCCCTCATCACCTCCACACAAATCCAACACCCCCTCAAATGGCGCACAAACTCTAAATCCCCTCCCCGCACAATCCTAGTAACAGGGGTAGGAATGAGCAAAGGCCTCAGCATCGCGCGCTCCTTTTACCGCGCAGGCCACTGGGTCATTGGCGCAGATTTCGAGCCCTACTACATGCCCGTCTCCGGACATTTTTCCAAGTCACTCCGAAAGTTCTACCGTCTGCGGAAACCGGGGGGGAAATCAGGAGCGGAGGAATATACCAGGGATATTGTGAATATCATTGAGAAAGAAAAGGTGGACCTATGGGTATCGTGTTCGGGCGTTGCGTCTGCGATTGAAGATGGAGAGGCAGCGGAGATGGTGCAGCGGAGTACGAAATGTGCGGTTGTGCAGTTTGGGGTGGGGTTGACGGAGACGCTGCATGAGAAATTCTCGTTCATTAAATATACCATGGAGTTGGGCTTGAACGTACCGCTTACGTATAAGATTCATTCTTGTGAAGAGGCATTGGAAATTTTGCACCCGGAGAATGGAGAATTGGTGGGTAAACAGTTTATTATGAAACCGGAAATGGTCGATGACAGTGTGAGGGCTGATATGACTCTGCTTCCCTCTCCGTCACGCACACAAACAAATAAACATATTCAAAAACTCAACCCCTCACTCAAAAGACCATTTGTTCTTCAGCAATACATCAAAGGCAGAGAATACTGCACACATAGTATTGTTCTCCAAGGCAAAATCCACGCATTCGTCTCATGTCGCTCTTCAGATATGTTAATGCACTACCAAGCTCTTCCGCCTTCGTCTGCTCTCGCCAAAGCCATGTTTCACTACACTACTCTCTATATTCAGCGCGCTGCGGAAAGAACTCCTAATTCCCCCGTCACCGGACATTTCTCTCTCGATTTTCTCATCGACGAGGAAATTGCTCAGAACGCAGAGGGTTCTCTTCATCCTTCATCCAAGGAAATCGAAAAATTGCAAAGAGAACTCTTCCCTATTGAATGCAATCCCCGCGCCCACACAGCGGTGGTTCTACTCAATGATTCTGCGGAAGAAATGGCAGAGGCCTATTTATCACTATTAACCGACAACAGCACGAATGGAAACGAAGATCCAATAGCCCCTCGTCCCCAAGCCGTCAACGGGGGTTATTATTGGATCGGTCATGATTTCGTCACGAAAGTCCTTCTCCCAATATATTACTTAATCAACTTCCAAAAAGGAATCACGAATCTAGTGAGAGAATGGTTGGAATTCGGTACACATGTATTACTGTGGAAAGATGGCACGTATGAGATTTGGGACCCTTGGCCAGCGTGGTGTTTGTATGTGGTGTTTCTACCAGGATGTTTCTGGGCGAGCATGTGGGAGAGAAAATGGTGGAGTAGGTGTAATGTTAGTACGGGGAAGTTTTTTGGAGTTTGAGGGGTGGTGATGCTGTGATGCTGTGAGGGCACGAGGGTATGAGGACGATATGATGGTATGAGAATTAGTAATTTTGACGAGAGGTCTCAGATACCATACATAGACTTCAGTTCCTTAATCAAAAGTTCTCAATTTCCAGATCTAATCAGAAGATTCGATGGATTTGGACTTTGCAATATTTTCCTTTTCAGATATCATACCACTAGTTAGAACCAAGGACTCAAACTCAGATTTCACCACTGATCTCACAATCGGGAGTATGACATCTCCAACCCTATTCAACCTCCAGGCTCAGATGATTCTGCAGATGTGAATATAGGAATTATAATATATAGAGATATTCGAGAACTCATAGTCTACGAGTCGTAGAGAGGTGACTGCAATCGCAATGTATGGTTACCCAACTGTTCGGTACCTCGGAACCTGGAGTCTTAGGGTAGGTACCCAAGCTCCGCTTATCCAAATCCTCGCTTCTCATACGATACGAGTGTTTCAGTACATATCATCTCTTCATTCCCCCCTTTTTTTCATTTCTCCCTTCCTTCATTCACCCTCGACCCTCGACCCTCGACCCTCAACCTCAGCCTCAACCCCCCAATCCAGACTCCTCCCTCCTTCTCTCGTCTCGCTCGAAGAAAATTCGTTTATCAGAATGAATGAATGTATTTGAATGAATGTATTTGAACTTTGATTAAATAACCCTGCTATTACCTATCTTTCTACTCAGCTAGACTAGCTACGTCTATGAGATTGGTGAGATGGGTGAGTGAGTGAGTGAGTGAGTGAGTAAACTTATCTTTTCTGTTCATTTATCTTTTTATTTATTTATTTATATGAATATTTTGGAGGATGGATGAGAGAGAGAAAGAGAGAGAGAGAGAGAGGAAAAGAGAGAAAGTAAACCCAGATCTCCTGATCACAATTCTATCTAACTCACTCGCTACTTAATAAGTCGTCTACATTTGCACCCATCCACCCTCCTACCCATTCATCCTCTCTATCTCTATCAACATGGTAACGATCTACATACATATATCACAGATACCTCACTATCTCCCCTTCAACACGAGCATACAGAATTCCCGCGACTTTCCCTGGCATAGGTAAGGATCCCTCAGAAGAAGCTACATCCCTAGGTTAATCTTACCGAGGAGGTATACGGACTAGATTGGATGAAGCCTCACTCGGTACCATTGAGATCTGATTCGAATGCCTACATTTAGATGAGATAGGTATTAGATCATCGTGGCCAGCTAGCTCTGTTCATCAAACTGGGTATGATGGGAAGGTATGTACCTAAGTAACCTGGTTAATTGACGTGAAGTGACGTGAGTGAAGTGAGAGAAGACAAATATATATATATATATATAATATAAAATAAACAGTATGTACAAAGGCTCTTTCTCATCCTAGCAAATAAAGATATTCTTACAAAAACAAGATACGTGTCCAAAATCTCTCATCTAAAGTTCTAAAAATCCTCTAGAGCCCTGCTCCCTCCCCCATCTCACCATCCCATCCAATCTACTCCCTCGCTCCCCTTTCTCGCCCCAGCCCCCCAACTCCCTCCTCAACCTTTCCCTCTCCGTCTTCTCCAACTTCTGCTTCACATCATCCACCAACTTCGCCAACTTCCTCGTCCCCTTCTCCTCTAAACCCTTCTCCAACTTCGCCAATTTCTTTCTTGTCTTCACTTCATCCGCTGCTCGTTGCGCCTGTTCCTTTCGCTGAATCTCTTTCAACACCTCCAACTGCTGTTTAGCATGTTCATCACACTCCTTTTTATCATACCGATGAAAAACATCCGTGGTCCAAAAATCCGCTCTCCAATCCCATACCCGAGCGCCTGATCCATACTCCCTCAGAAATGCTCTGAGCCAATCATCCGTTTTGACCATTCTTAACTTGTGGCCTCTGATCTCGGGCAATTCGTTGGGTCTTCTATCCATATGTCGTAGTTTATTTGCTTCGGTTTCTCGTGACAATATGATCGAACCATACATAGTACCTGTTCTCGATTGTTTGACATATCCTTTTATGGCTGTACATCTTCCCTTGAAAGCTTCTACCAATTCTTCATTTGTTGTGCCGAGGGGAATTCCTGTAACCTTAAGACTGTTCTCGACATTCTTTTTGATTACCTTTGGATCTAAATATGTTGGTAATCCATAAATACTTTGCGATCGTTCGTGTAGTCTCGCTTGACGATTTGCTATCCTCATCTTCTTCTCTTCTTCTTGAGCCGGATCGATCTTAAAAGGGAGCCCAATATGATTTGAGAATTCTGCCAACCTTTCATTATATTTACTGTCTAGATCTATCCAATTGGCCCAACCTTCAAGACGCTTAGTACCACAATTCACACACTGGCGATCATAGATACTGTTTTGACAACCACATCCTTCAGATTTGCATGTCCAAACATCAGAGCGATGAACAAGAGCATCATCAGATGGTTGTGAAAAGGCTCTATCACGTTGAAGGTATTCGGTCGGTTGGTTGTCAGACCTTCCAGTCCACGTGAATGAACGACTTTTAGGTTGAGAAAAATGAGTATTATCAGATTCCTGTGCAAATTCTGTACTATTCTGTGTGTCTTCAGTCGGCTGGTAGCCACTCATTTGGATGCCCCTATAATTAAATCCTCTGGCTTGAGAATCAGGAGAATTACGGTTGAGGGATTTGTTCAGAAGATCGACATTCATGGAATTGAAAGCACTTGTGGCACTCAAGTGGTATCTGATCGTTGGGTCATCAGATGCGGGCGAAGAGGCTCCTGATGAATCATGATTTGTAGTTTTTGAAGCATCCAGATTACTATCAATCACCGAGTCGTTGATAGAAGATGAAGAGGTCTCAGGCTGAACCAGATCCGAGACTTCGGAATCGTCCAGATCTTCCTTGACTTCAGGAACCGAGACCTTAGATCCACCGCCTGGAGTAGAATTCAAAATTTCTGATAACCTTCCAGTGATTGGACTTGTCAATTTTACCGGGATCTTTTGGAGCGGAGTCGAAAGTCTCTCTGAAAAAATTTCTGCAGTAGAATCTTTCAAGCTTGAATCGGATGTTCGTTTGTCCCTGTCTAAAGATCTGGATGACACTGACGGCAGCTCCAGTCGTTTAATGGTTATTTCGTCGAGAAGACGGGCTAACATAGGTTCTATCTGTTGAAGATCCGGCGTAGGTGGTGGGGCAACGTCCTCACAAGACATGCACACAGCAGTTGCATAATCTCCATCATGACTTATGCTCATCGGTACTATCTGGTCCTCTTGTCCTGCTGCTGATTTAATGAGTGTGACGGGTGCTCTAGACCTAAGGTTATCCAGAGATGGGCTATCAATTGTAATGTCGTGGAAATTCAATTTCCTCTTGCTAAATGCTTTCTTCGCTGCTTCTTTCGCTGCAAAACTGGACAATGTATAGTTAGCCATAGCCTGTTTTGGGAATTTTGACTTCAATAAACTTACCGGCCAGCCACAAACCTCGCAACTCCTTGCACATTTTCTTTCAATTGAAGTAAAATTGATTCCTCTTCCTCTTTTGTCAATTTTTTCAGATCTTCTGGCGCACCATAGGTAGGCCATATCAAAGAACCAACAGGATTATTATTCGCGGCAGTACTATTCAGCAAAGGCGTCTCTTTCGGCGTAACGAGTCCTATCAACGCCTCCAAGCTTTTCGCCTTCCATCTTTCTTGCTTTTCTATTTTCCCTTGAATGAATTCCCTTCGTTCCATAAAATATAGGTATTCAATCAATGGCAATAATCTCGGTCGATACCACACCTGCTCCTGCGGAGTGAATATCCTTCTGATAAATCGATGTGCATATTTCGATTGATGCTTCGTTAGGATATCCTGAATGCGACTGATCCTGCAGATGTCGGTTCCAATGTTAACAGGAAATGGGAATGCTCGTGGCATATTGGGTAAAAATTGGTCATATAGGTGCTGTATGGTAAATTTGTCTCATAGTGGCGCTACACATGTCGCTCTTCATCTGCAACGACATGAGGGGAATTGTATCTATCGAATTGTGTTATCGAAGGTTTTTTCTCCCCAAAGTTTCTTATCCGATATGAAAGCTCGGCCCCACTACGCGAAAACACCTGATGAGACAGATTTCCGCGTCTATTAATAACCTTCATGGCTTCCAACTTGTGAAAGTGTATAGACTTATTGCTACTTTGCCGGGGCTTAGTACCTATTGATCAATTCATTGAGGATCGCAGTCATTATTATAATCATCTGTGCACTAGAAGTATTGACAGTTGAAAGACTTGAATCACTATAGATCTTCAACTTCTAACCTGCAAGATGGTCACTCAATTACTTCAGACGGCATGAGGTCATCAAGACAAATCCAGTTGCAAAAGTTCAAACAAAGAAGAATGAATCAATTTTGATGCATACACAGATTCAATTTGTCAGATAGCCCTGAACCTAAAAGTGTGACAGATTTCGCATTATCTGTGAAACAACCAAAAGAAGAAATAATAATGGAAGAACATCCCTCAAATCCATGCGTAACACCTCTTAACCCAGATGGTCCCCAAGACATGATACCACAAACTTCCCGTACTATTTTCAAACCCTCCTGCGTCAAGTCCAGATCTCAGATTTTGACTAACCCTCGTGATATTAAGATATCCATGAACAAGTTATACCTAGGTAATGATTGAAACCACAAGAGCCCAGTCATTTCCATCAATTTAGTGGTCGTCCAAAAGAGGGGCTCTCTCTTGATCCTCAGAAGCGAATGGAGTTTCTCTTCTGAATGATATCTCCTTGCCAAAAATTCCAGGAACGGCAACTATCAATGTAGCAAGGAAGAGAGTACCCATTATGGTAAAAGCAAAGATCCACTGAAGAGCGAATACTTTTGTGAAGAATTGGCCAACTCCGATGGCTGCCGTGATGATACTAAGGGCAAACCCCATGGTGTAATCCTAATACCCAGTCAGTATCTCTAGAAACTTTGTGGTTCATACTTGGAATTTAAAATCATTTAACGTACCTTGTAAGCAGCAAGGAAGAAGAGTCCATATACTAAGATACCCCAGATTGCGACATTTGCTATGATACGTGCAGGAAGGTTGTGAGCTCCAACGGCAATAGCTCCGTTCCAATATAAAGCTACAAATGTCCAAGCGAGCGGGCCAGAGGTAGCGGGCATATGAATGAATCGTGGGGTGGTGTTATGACGGAAGTAGAGAGAGGAAAGGTTGAAGAAATTGATGATCAAAATAATCTCAGCCCATACGAAGTGAGATCGAACAAACAGCATGACGAATGCAAATTGCAAGAGATTGTTCAGAATGAAATGACTTCCAACTGATGCTGCGGCGTTGACATGTTCAACCTCGTCGCTGAAGAGGTGAAGGACATATCCAATTTGAAGAATGAAGAGGAATAACCTAAGACTGTGTTAATAATGTAAGCTCTTGGTTGATGTAGAATAGAATCTTACCAATAAAATGAAGCAATGAAAGCATTCATAGCAAATGGTGTGTGGTGTATCTTATTCTGCTCCCAAATGGTATGACGCCAACTGTGCTTGTCATCCTGAGGTGCGTGGAAGTTGTAGTAGAAGGTGACTACTACCATCAACAACCAGGATATAATTGTACATATTTTATATGTCCAGATTGCTTGAATTGGATGGGTATCTCGTCGCGCGAATGGATTCGCTGTGTGCCGTACCGTTAGTCTACAGATATGATGGAATGGATTTTGGAGGAGAAAGTACCTTGCGCAAATGAAGGACTCATTGTGAAACTGTGCAGGCTGGGTCTGCGAGAATCGAGAGAAGCACGTAGGATGTATGGACGTGAGCTCGTTGAGGTTCGTTGACTGTGTCAAGAAAGTAGGTGATGTTGATTTAGAAGGAGGCTGATTGATGAAATTTATCTTCAGTAACTGCAGTTGAAAAGAGGGGAAGGGACAAACAAGATATTACGTACCAAGTATGAGCGACGGGCAAAACAAAGCAAGATGGGTATCTGGCTATCTGGGTGTCTGGGTGTCTGGGTGTCTGGGTGTCTGGGTGTCTTCGGTCTCGTCTCTGGAGTATCACGCGTTGGTAGTACGAAAATTGGAAAGCGTAGTCTCGTTAATTGAGCTTTAGCATCATTCACAACTTCAGCAGAATAATAAATTTAAGTTTGACTTTAATTTTGGAAGGGAAGGGAAGGGAACTAGAGAGAGTAGTAGCTTGCCTACCTACTTAGCCACCGACCTATATAAACGTGAGGAATGGGAAACCAAGCTTCTGCTCGAGTAGCAAGCATGACGTACGGGAAGACGGGGACCCTTGAAACTACTAGTACTCACACTAAAAATGCGTACGATCTATGATTTACCCCGCACTCGCAAGCACCAAACAGACTCAAGCGATCCTATCATTCATTCAATTCGAAACTTGGATTATCGTCCTCATACGAGGATTGGTCGACGAGGTGACTGAGGTGACTGAGGTGGTCGAATATCAATGATTTTCACTGGCAATGTGATACAATACATACAATACTGGGCGGAGCGAGACGCGGTGGCCAATTGAGCAAAAGGAAATATGCGGAAGGATACTACTAACAAGGTGCCTCCTGTACCAGTACATGCACATGGAAGATACTCCGTGTGTTACTGAGTATGCAATTGTGGAATTCCCGTTGCATAATACCATTGAAAACTTGACCATTCACGGGTCAGCCCTCTGAGCTGTACTCGAGTTTTGATGAATGCAGCAGTTTGGCTGTCATATAACCAAGAATCATTCATCAAAAGCCATGCTATCAACAGGTACTGTCTAGATGGTATCAGACATGCATGTATTCATTCACCCTGAGTGGCTAACCGACTAACTGACTGGAAACATTGGTATGAAATATGAATCTTTTCGAGTGACTTGATATATGCAGTAATGATGGTCAACCCGACAACGTTCGGAGTGAATCTCGGATACAAGTAGGTGTTGATAAAGGGGGTGAGAGATTCGCGTTTGACGTATTCAACCGGAGCAAACCTTCCAACATGTATGTGGTAGGCTTGTATAGGCAAGTGCCTCTCGTGACATTATTACAGGATTATGAATACCTGACTTCAACATACATTTTCTACATGTGCCTTCGGACAAGCAAAACTGTTGTACGATGCCATTACATTGTTGCTTATTTGTCTTGCCTACATGATATGGGTGGTTTCGTATTTTCAATAACATTGAACATTGGAATTACTTTCAACATCGATTTTCAATAAACTCTAGATCAGCACATTAGAAATCAATAGAGGCTTGGTCATAAAAAGCAGAAAGCAGAAAGTTGAAAGTTAAAAGTTAAAAGCAATTATGAAGTTCAGAAATATACTCCGTATTCAGCTCAAAAGCGTGACACCAGCCACATTGTTTTATTCGGAATCTAAGGAAGCTAATCCTTAATCCTTGGATTGTCTAAGGTTATCACCAGCTCCATTCAGGTACCAAAGCTCTTATCAACATATCTCGTACACCGAATTACAACATTTCATCAAACATTCCGAACATCCATCATGAAGCTCACAAATTTATCACTCTTAGCTCTGTCGGCATCTCTTGCATCTGCAAGATTTGTTGAACAACACGAAAAGGATCAAGTTGTCCTAAATTCTAATGTCGTGGATAATGAGCGTTATCTGATCGAGATCGCCCCTGGCAAACAACAATGGGTCACAGAAGAAGAGAAATGGGAATTGAGAAGAGTATGTATACTGTGCAGCCCAGAGAAACTTTAGCTAATATCGCGAAGAATGGACAGAACTTTATGGACATTACGGAAACTCCAGAACTTGGTACCTTCAAGGCTTCATCGGTCAAGGCGAAGTTTCCATCAAAGCCAACCCTTCAGAAAGACCTCAAACCGCTACTTAAAGACTTGAACAAGTCTAATATGCACGAGAACCTTAAGACCTTCACTAGTTTTCACACCAGATATTATAAGTCCGACTATGGTCGTCAATCCTCAGAATGGCTCCTGGAGCAAGTTCAAGGGTTGATCAAGGATGCTGGAGCCGATAAATACGGAGCTAACGCTCGTCATTTCAAACATTCATGGGGACAAAACAGTATCATTGCTACAATTCCTGGACAGAAGAACTCGACCGTTGTCGTAGGCGCACACCAAGACTCTATAAACCTCTTCTTGCCTTCTATTCTATCTGCCCCCGGAGCTGATGATGATGGAAGTGGAACCGTGACTATTCTCGAAACCCTTCGTGTATTGCTTACATCCAAGGATGTCATTGAAGGAAAGGGAGAGAACACTGTTGAATTTCACTGGTAGCTGACCCTCTTCTTGTTATACCAAACCCAATCGATCAGTTGCCTTTGTATTCACATGCATGATTCTAACATTCAATCAGGTACTCGGCTGAAGAAGGTGGTTTGCTCGGCAGTCAAGCCATTTTCTCCGAATATGAGAAGACTGGTCGAGATATCAAGGCAATGCTGCAACAGGATATGACAGGATACACCCAAAAGACTTTGGATGCTGGAGAGCCAGAGAGTGTTGGTGTGATCACCGATTTTGTCGACCCTGATTTGACAGATTTTATCAAAAAGATCGTTACCGAGGTAAGTTGCTTATACTAAGCATTGGGAGTCATAGTTTCTTGTTTCTCTGCTTATACGATTCTAGTATTGTGATATTCCATATGTCGAGACAAAGTGTGGCTATGCATGCTCTGACCATGCTAGCGCTTCAAAGGCTGGGTATGCCTCTGCTTTCGTCATTGAGAGCGACTTCAAGTATTCCGATAACCATATCCATACTTCGGATGACTCCATCAAGTACTTGAACTTTGACCACATGCTTCAGCATGCTCGTTTGACTCTTGGCTTGGTTTATGAGCTTGCGTTTGCAAAGCTATGAGTGGCTTTGTATAGTATAATTGGTTATTTCACACGTCATCAGAGATGATCATATTGGATTATTTGTATTTACGAGAGAATTTGGAAGGCATTATATTGGGTGGAAGCATCTATCAGTAATCTGTATTGAATATCTGGTGGCTGTAAGATTTACATGTGTTATGCATTGAGATTATGCAAGAAATGTATCAGGGTCAGAGGTGCAGGTAGCTTCAATTCAATTACCTAATTATTCAGAAAAGGAATCAAGAAACCAAGTGATCAATTCGACGATTGAAGTCTTTGAAACACGGTACTCCTACAGTGTTATCACCACTAGGTACTTCCAGATCGACCAATTCCTAATCTTCTACCCACCGAGCCACCGCGTTCGATGATGGCACGATTCAATTGATTCATGCATGATTGGTTCGAAGTGGATTACCCTGTGCGGCCGTGCCTTATCGGACATCAGCCGTCACTTCCTTACTAGTCTGGTAGATAGGTATCCATATGACTCCTATCCGATCAATCTATATCTCCCTCCTGCTGCGTGTATACTTAGCAGGTAGATAGGCAGTTCTTCTTCTTATTAACAGCTCTTTCATTCGGATACCTGTCATCTTCAGAACTTCATCTTTACAATATCTCTCCCAAATTTCAATCAGACAGATTTACATATTACTTTGCTCAATTCCTTATCTTGAATCAAAATGGCCATCTATTCATCAGTCCCGCCACCCGCACAACAGGCTTCCGGTTTAGCAGGTCCAGATATCGAAGCCTGGACGGTGTCTGCTTTAGAATCACTCAATGTTTCTCCTACTGCTCGCGGTACTGGAGTTACACTCTCCATTCCTCTCGAACAAGATGAGCTCCCCAAAGACGCGACACCCTCAAGGCCCATTGCCTACAAACCTCGCAAAGAAGTTTTGAAACGCGATAGCCAGAAACACAGAGAGACATTGCTGAGGGGGAAGGAGGGCAGTCGTAGACGCCAAAGATGGGAGAACGGTGAGTGCTATTGATGAACGGTGATGTGAAATTGAAGTTGCCACTCATCCGGCATTTCGATCTCAACCATCAAAGCATTCCTTGTCACACAACGCGATACTCGGGAAACTGGGAAGACCGAGTGCGAATGACATTGATTACTGATTTGAATTGCATTCGCAGATCATCTTCTCCATGTTCCAAATGCCCAACCACCACTTCCAAGTGACTGGGAAGTTCGCCCGACCTACCCCGTTCATCACGTACCGTATTATTTGGCTCCTTTGTGGGATGCGGGTGTGCGTCATCGAGCTGAGGAAATTGCTGCTGAAAAGAAATTGGATAAAGCAAGAAAATCTGGTAGCTGTGAGGAGAGAGGTCGTGTCCCGCAAGATTTAAGGCAGAAGCTCAAGAAGAGCAAGGGAGCTAAGAGTCTTTTGCAAGACTTGGAGGAAGAGGTGAGAAAGTTCGTCCAAGAATATGAAGGAAAGCAGAAAATCCTAGGACAGATGAAGGAAGATGAAGTGGACAGTGAGGATGAGGAGATTGTGTTCATTGGAAGGAATGGCACAATGAGTGATGAACAACGGAACCTAGTCGAAGAAGAGTTACAAAGAGAAAAATTAGTCTTCGATTCTTTAGCTGATGATACAGGGGCAAGCTTCGGGTATGTTATATTCATAATGGTTTGATAGTTCACTCTAACATTCTTCTAGACGCTGGCTTGTCCATTCTATTGCATCTTACTACGGTCTCACTTCTCGATCTATCACAGTTGGCGATCCCGCTCGTCGCGAGGCTTATGTTGGTATAAAGGAAATGGGTACAGGTGGACAGATCTCTCGTCTTCAATCAGACCTCCCCCGTCCATTGTGGGGAATGATCTGATTGTGGAGGTTTGAAATTCTACCTTGGCAGACCTATGCCAATACTCCTTTCTGCTCCGGTTATCAGTGCCACATTGTGAGCTCATTTTTCGTCTTTTTACATTACTCGGTTTTGCATAGCTATTAGATCAGTAGATGATAGATCTAATCATTATATTTAATACGTTGAAGCCATTTGATCCTTCAATTTACTACATACAATTTATCACGTTCACACAGTACTATCATTGACCTTAACAATAAATCCTTCGCTCTGAGTGAGTTCCGACAAGTGTGTTGATAGGGCCAATAGTAATGTCAATATAGCAGTACTGTTTGTAGTGATATCAATTACTCCAAGCCTAGTCAGGGCGTGCGCTGTCTCAACTCTCGAGCGTGTCTACGGTTTATCTGTTCTTGAGTCAAGTTCATGAGTTTCAGCCTCCGGTCACATATCCGAGGTATCCCTTCCGATGAAACCCCCACTATAAATTATTCAGATCCCGTACTAATTCCGCGAACATATATCTGAAGAGGATTTAAGAGTACAATCAAGAATTTATAAATCCACCAGCAACCCAGACGTATATTTGTGTTTTTTCCTTTCTTTTACTGAAGCATGCGCATATAGATTGTTTTTTCGTAAGCGGCGCATCTTGCAATTTACAGCCATTATGAAGCTACGAACTACATCGGCACGATCCTTCCAACTCTTATCCGCGAATTCTAGAAGTACATATGAAGGTTCAAGGAATTGGATATGTATAAATCGCTGTGAACTCAGCAGGGAAAATGCAAGGAGATATATCTCTGCGATCGCATTGGGACCAAGGAAAACAGCCTCAAACTTAGATGCTGCTTCATTGACACCCAGACGTTTACTGGTCTTTCCCGCATCTTTCATTGCAGGGCAGCGAAGGTCTTTGGCAACTGTTCAAAATGGTACATGAACTTTCTGAATAGTGTAAAACGTCTGCTAAAGGTGCTGCAGAAAATCCGGATGATCGAGGACCTATGAAGGAATACAATGCGCGCGTTGCATCGGGACAATTGAGGGACGATGAACACCAGAGAGGTCAGCAACATATATACATATTCACACTCCGTAACAAAGTCTGACGAATTATGCTTCTAGGCATTATACAGAATCTTCAACATCTCCATGACGAATTGCGATATTATAATGCGCCTGCAATTGTTCACCCAACCCTCGAATCTCTTCAACCTCCGCCAACTTCCCTGTTTGGACGTATATTTGGAAACAAACCCAAAGAATCGGCCTTGAAGGAAATACCAGAGAATCTTCCTCGAGGACTTTATTTATATGGAGATGTAGGAAGTGGAAAGACTATGTTGATGGACATGTTTTATGAGACACTGCCAAGTAGTGTAGCATCGAAAACGAGGATCCATTTCCATAATTTTATGCAGGATGTTCATAAGAGGTTACACAAAATGAAAATGCAGTACGGAAACGATATTGATGCTGTACCTTTTGTGGCAGCGGATATTGCGGAAAAGGGAAATGTGCTGTGTTTTGATGAATTTCAATGCACAGATGTGGCGGATGCTATGATCTTGAGAAGGTATTGTCCCCTTTCTTTTTCGACCAGAATATTGTTCTTATGCTCATCTTCTATAGACTTCTGGAATCTTTAATGTCCCATGGAGTTGTTCTTGTTACAACGTCCAATCGTCATCCGGATGACCTTTACCGTAACGGTATTCAAAGAGAATCTTTCATTCCTTGTATTAATCTCCTCAAGTCCCGTCTCCACGTAATCAACCTCGACAGTCCCACAGATTACCGAAAGATTCCTCGTCCTCCTTCCGGCGTCTATCATTGTCCTCTAGACGCCCACGCGCCTACTCATGCGGAAAAGTGGTTTCGTTTTCTTGGTGACCCTGAACAATCTACCCCTCATTCAGAAACTCAACATGTCTGGGGTCGCGCAATTCACGTTCCGAAAGTTAGTGGTAAAGCCGCTATGTTTACATTCGATGAGTTGATTGGGAAACCTACCAGCGCAGCTGATTACATTGAACTTATGAGAAGCTACGACGCATTTATTGTTACGGATGTTCCCGGAATGACACATCAACAACGTGATCTCGCTCGTCGTTTTATCACGTTCATCGATGCCGTCTATGAATCTCGTGCCAAGCTTGTCTTGACGACTGCAGTACCATTGACACAGCTATTTTTGTCAAAAGAAGAAATACAAGATAGCATGAAGAAAGAAGTGGAGGATAAGAAAGGGCAGAAAGAAGCTAGTGAAGGAGAAGAACTTGATGATGCAATGAGAATGATGATGGATGATTTGGGTATGAATATGAATATGTTGAAGAATACTAGCATATTTAGTGGAGATGAAGAAAGATTCGCATTTGCAAGAGCGCTGAGTCGATTGAGTGAGATGGGGAGTCAGCAATGGGTAGAGAGGGGTATGGGGCTAGAAAAAGATGGGGGGAAGAAGGAGAAGGAGGGTTGGCAGAAGGTTAGGAGTAAGAGGTTGGAGGATAGTATGTAGTGAGAGTATGGTTGGAGTGGCTTAGAAGCTGATATTGATGTTGCGCGAGATACCAATGATTTGCTGTTTAGATGATGATGAGAGGGCTGGGAGATGGATATGATTTTTAGTTGGACAGTTAGAGAGAGAGAGAGAGAGCTTTGTGATCTTTTCTTTGGAATACCACTATATATAGCATATACAAGTATAATAGATCGATCGAAATATACCCGAGTACTGAGTCACCTCAAGCGTATTTGCATCCCTTGAGTTATCTAGTAATCGAATAACTATCTAACAGAACGAATACGCGAGCTCATTGGGTGGGAAGGAGTATCACTTTTGTATCTCCTCTTTTTTTCCCCTTTTTCTCTTCACCCCTATCCTTTTTGAAAGTTCAAAAGTACCCACGACAAATTCCTCACCTGAGTGGGCAAATTGAAGCATATCTACGTCTCCCGCCATCACCGGCTCGGTTCTGAGCATCCTTCTGCTGGATGGATTTTGCGGGCGTATCGTTCGAGCAAGCATCTAGAAGCAATCCAGAATTCAGTACGAGCATTAGATTTTTTTGATTTTCTTATACCTCGTCATGAATTCTAGCCAGAGAATAACACATTGAATCTTCTCTATACCACCTCTACCTGTTTCATCATACACACACACGATGATCTCATCACACATTCTCCCTCTCATCAGCATTCGAATAAGAAGCCACTTCTCTCTGGGTCTCTCGCACAATCATCACTCGATGACTGGTGGTTCTCCGATGGTACGGTATACTATTTACATGTGTAGAGTGTTGGGGAAGCTGCTACGAGGTACTTCTTTGGAACTTGTAGGTAGGTATCTATCTATACCTTACGAAATACTTTTTGATTTCTTTTTTGATTTCTTTTTTTGATATTTGAGTAGAGATTGTAGTTTTGGATCTTTTGTTATGTTGGGAATTGATTTGTGTGTATGTTTTTGGTTTTATTCTGTATTGCATTGTATTATGTATGTATGTATGTATGTATGTATGTATGTATGTATGTATGTATGTATGTATGTATGTATGTATGTATAATAATAAATCTGTGTAAGATTCCTCGATTAGGAGTTCCGAGTTTATGAAATCGGAGGAGGTGGGGAGATATACTCGTGTATTTTGTTGTCCTGATGTTGGGGCTAAGAATGAATGGGTTTGAATTCTTGGATTTTTGGATTATGAATTATGGATTTGTGCGAGATGTGATGCAATGAAGTTGAGGGAGATTCAATGTGAGATTGCTTGCTTGTTGCGTTTTAAATTGGAAATTTGGAAATTTGTGGTTCTAGAGGGTGGAAGATGAGAGAAAGGAAATGGTTATGGGTAAATTGCTTACTTTGCTATTTAAACCTTTATTTCCGTGCTGAGTTTGCACTTTGCTATGGTGGATGGTGGATGGTGGATGGACTATCAAATACAAATATACGGATGTGTATATTGAGGATTCTAGATCAATCAAGGGAACTGCGAGAATTTTGGGTGATTTACTAGTAGGGAGTAAGAAGTCAATGGGCTTTTGATATTCCCATATAGTATACATGTTTGTGGAAAGATACATAGATTTATGATTGTATAAATGGTCTTGGCGATTCGTGATGAATATCAACGATGATGTGATTAACTTTCCACTCCCAATTCCTGATTCCCTCTCCCTTTCTTCAAACCCTGATTAAGCACCCTCCTCTCTCTCAGAAACACCCACCCCCCGCCCCCCCCCTCACCCCCTCCACGCTCCCAACAAATAATTCTGCACATCCCTCAAAACCACCTCCTCAACCCCAAACCCCGTCATCCCATTAAATACCTCACAAAACGTTCCCGGCGTAATCTCCGTCCCCGTCCGCACCACCTCCTTCTTCAACACTCTCCTTATCCTTGCCGTATGCCTCTCATCATGCGCTCTCAACCTCTCCGCCACAACCGGGATAATATATTTCTTAAACCTGCGCAACCCAAGTTGCATCCCGAGATGCGCATTAAAAATCTCCAGCGCTTTACTCCATCCGCAGGCTCCGAAACAGACATGCGGGAGTACCGTACAGAATATTTCGGTAAGCTGACATGAGACTTTCTCCTCACATCCTTTCTCTTTGAGCATCTGTATCTCCCTCTCCGCCATTTCGCAAAAAGATTCCGTGAGAAGCAGACCATTCATGCCCAACTCATCTCCCACTTTCAAAACCTCAGCTTGTCGCATCAAGATTGAAAAATTCCCAAAACTCACCGCGAAACCCACATTCTGGAATTTCATCCACGCGTCTCGCATCGTCAAACTGGAATGCCAGATTTGCGCCAGAAGCGCATAGAGAGATATGCATGACGGAGCGCCGTTTGTGGCGGTTTTTCCTTGCTCCAGGGCGATGACATCGATTGCTCTTTGGAGAGTGTCGAAATCATATTGTGGGAAAGATTTTTCGAGGGCGTTGAAGAAGGTTTGTAATGTGTCGGATTCGGAGTGAGATGATTCGTTGGTGGTGTTGAGGGGCTGGAGATTTTTATCGGGATGGGGATGGGGATAGTGTTCGTGATGATGGAGAAATGTACTGATGGTTTCGTTTTCGGGAGTTCGGTGGGCTTTGGCGAGACCGTTCCAGTCGATTGTGCTTTTGAGGAATAGGTTTCCCGTGGTTGAGTAGCTGGTGTAGATGGTGAGATGGGGGGATTTTCTTCGAGTGAGTCTTCTGAGTCATCTGGGTTATGATTGGGCTCTGGAAACTTGGGAGGATGATTCGTTGAAGATTCTTGAGGATTGTTCGTGAGAAACTGGGAGGTTTCAATGTGAGTCCTGGGGATGGCATGATGGATAGATGTAGTGAGGAAGGTTACGTGTTTGGATATGCGATCGGGGTTCAAAGGAGAAAGAGCAGTATCGAAAGGGTTTGTTCTTGAGAAGTTCTTAACTACTCGTTTGGAATTGAAGAGTGCTGTCATGGGTTTCGGAGGGTCAGGAACACTATCCCTTGAACTTCCTTCGGATGTACTCATATCGTCTTGATACATCTCTTACTTTAGCATAGAATCCCTTTAAAGCTTTTCCTCTTAATATTGAATCTTTTTACAAGAAAAAGGAGAACAAGAAGAAAGCCAAAAGGAACCCAGCCGCCCCTTTTAAGCACATCAAACCCAGTATTCAGTCATGTTCTTACCCAAATTCTCAATCAAAACAGTCAGTATGCGAGTATCCAAAATATTTCCCGTCTTTTCGAGTCATCATTACCAAGGAAATTTTCAAGAATATGTCTACAGTCGTGAAATTATCTGATTATGACATGTTCTTACTCACTTAAATGGAAATCCTGATAGTAGGTTGGAAGACTAATTCTTCTGTACATACTCGTAGAGTGCAGATAATACACCACCGATAGTCTTGAATGATCCGGGGAATTCAAGTTTGTGCTGAATGATTCGTGGTTTCGTGGGATGGATCATATCTTATAGTGTTGTATGTAATGCAAGATTGATATTTGGAGCGTGAATGAATGAATGAATGAGGGAACGGTGCATAGATTGGTCGAGTTTGAAGTTTATATGATAAATGAAGAGAATGGGTCCTCAAGGAAGGTTTTAGGATTTGGTCCGTCATCTTGAACGTCGGTTCGACTTATGAGCTTCTCGAGGCCTTGTCATACTCTGCTTTCATGCGAAACATTGACTTTTTGTGATTAAATAAGATATAAAAAGAAAAGTTTACAAGTATATGTGACTATGTGACTATGTAACTATGTATATGAAGTCTCTCACTTGCAGAAGCATATTGGACCAGTACACGGGAGTAAGTTGAGTTGCATCTTCATACTACACTAATAGTAAAAGAAACGTGTAGATATAGGTAGTGAGGTGGATATCGAACACTCGATAGGAGAGAAATTCGTGGTTATGGCAGTGCTCACCAATCCTTTGCAGTGGTTGCGACGTAAAGAGAGCTGAGAGTTCGAGGGAGCGGAGAATCACAGCATATAAGAAAGAATTAATCACATTAATACTTTATTCGAAACTGACTATTAAGTGCGTTACAGAGACATGTATATCATAGAAACTGTCCCTCGTTCGAAAACATGAAGACGCGGAAATTTGAGGACCCTGATCCGATCAAGTCATTTTCCTTCCATACTCGTAGATATCCGCAACCTCGAGAGTTGAACATTCCCTTGTATCAGTTTCTCGATACTTGAAACAGATATGCCATAAAAAAAGGAAATTCATTACTTCGTGCATTACCCCTTCCACATATAATTGTGAATCCGTAGAAATCATTATCCTGACAGTCAATTGAGCGCCGCATCTTATATCATACACTTCTCGAAAAGCAAGACCATCTCAAATTGGCCCATTTCATAATTACAAAAACAACAGCAAGCCTGTCAGACCACAAAGTTCAAAGTTAATTTTAGATTTCCACAAGAGGCGAGCATCTCTTGCATGTGTACATTGCTTGCGGGCAAGCGTTGGCTTCTGCGAGGATTTTTTGTGCGAGTTCTTGTGCAGCATTGATTCTCTCGATTGCAGACCTTTCGTAGATTTGAATGAGTGGTTGAGCTGGAAATAAAGGTTCCTCATGAAACTGAATCAATGGGGTGGCTGAAGAGTGAGGGACTTTGACGTTTGATGGTAATGTTTTTCGTTGCATGAGTGGCGAGAACTCTGTTCGCGAAGTTTGGAAACTTTCACCAGAATCGGATGTCTCGGAAAGATTACCGCATGTAATGAAATGTCTTTCCCGGGTAGCAGAATTGATGAAGAATGTTCCAGGACAAGCTTCGCAGATGAATGCATGCTCGGTTGCGTAATGTGCGGCAGCTGCATCGGAAGTTGGAAAGGTTTGAGTACATTGAACACAGCCGAACAATGGTCTTCGGGTATGCATCTTAGCTGTATGTGCTTGAAGTTGCGGGTCCTCTCCTTGATTAAAGAATCCATCACACTCACCACACTTAACCACATTAAAAGTATGATAGTGGTGGCGAGTCGCATTAAGGATGCTAGGTTGGTGATGACAGCCGGAATTGTGACACTTCAGCTGGAGCTTACAAGTAGAATCTTCATTGTCACAATTAATCTGAGAGCCAGGTTCATATTTTTCTATGAGAATTATGTGATCCGCAGCGTGCTGGAAGAGTTGCAAAACGTTCTCAAAGCATTTGGGACACTTGGGGCATTGAATTCGGTGATTATTGGTGCAAGTGATTGGCATTCCGTCTTTCTTATATCTAAAGCCTTGATTATAATCTGCCAAGCGAAGCTCTTCGAAAGATAGCCTCCAGCAAGAAAAGTGGCATGTAATACTCTGGAGATATTGTAAATTGTTGGAACTGATGTCATTCTCAATGAATGGCGAGAATGGTACATCTATGGTGCCTTGGCGAGGACTGTGGCAAGCTTCACACTCGGAGCACTTGAAGTTACTGTGTTCTAATTTCTTGTGCATCTCTAAATGTTTTGGTCCTTCGCACATCTCTTGGCACAGGTCGCAGGCCCATGTGTGGTGATCGGCAATGTGTCGCTTCAGAGTGGCTTCGAACAGGTACCCCCTGCGACATTTTTGGCACTGGAATGGATGAGCTGGAGAGAGCGCATGCTGCTCAAGGGCTTGAAGCGTTCTGAACACTTTGTCGCATGGCAAACACTTCAAGTTGTGGTATTCAAGCTCATGTGCGTTAAAGTGCCCCCAATCTGTGAAGCATTCTCTACATTCGTAGCAGTGGTATGGATGTACAGCATCAACATGGGCGGTTCGCGCAGTGGAAGTCCGGAAAACTCTCTCGCAGAATTGGCAAGATAGCTGATGTTGCGACTTATTATGTGATGCCAAGTCGTCTTGATTGTCGAACGCCTCGTTGCAATCACGACAGCAGAACGTGTGTTTGGCTGCAGTATGCATTTCTCTTGCCTGTTGTGACCCGAAAGCTTTGAGTTCCTCGCAAACGACACAGACCCAAGCTCGTTGATGACGACGATTGATGCAATGCGCGAACATCTGCTCCCTAGTATCGAAGGTAGCTTCACAGGTCCAGCACATGAAAGTCATGGTGAGCTCGGTTTCAGATTCCCGGATTTGTGGAGTTGAGAAATATGACTGGAACAACTAGTTAATTACTGCCAATTGAAACACATCATTTGGATATAATGGCGAACAAACCTGAATGTTTACATAGAGTGGCGGAACTATCTGCCGGCCATCAGCTGGGACGATGAAAATGTCTCTGAATGAGCTAAGTCTGGATCCTGAGAATGAAATAAAAATCAGAGAACAAGGCTTGATGGATCTTGGAAATTGAAGTTACTGGGTCGAAGACGAACCCAATCGATACACGAGTATAGAATATCACAATGATTTCGGATAAAACCACAAGAGTGTCGGAAACTGAAAGGTGTAAAGAGAGGAAAATGTGATGAGACAGCTAGACGGAGGTACGGATGGACCAAATAAAGAAGAAGAATTCGGCCACCCGGAAATCCAATTAATTGATTTTTGATGCTTGATAGAAGTTGCAGAGAAAGCAGAATGTTTAATGTGAAGCCCGACTGGTCGACAATCAGGAGAATTGAAAGAGAATAATGTATTGTGAAATCAAGATAGAAAAGGTTGATACAATGAAGAGAAAGGAGCGTTTCGAGCGTTATAAAATTCACCGGAATTGTTGTGATTGAGAATTGAAAGTGTTGGAATAATTGCAGGAAGCTGGTGAAGGAAAATACTTAGAGAGGGTGATTTGCATTAGCGTGGTTGGACTCTTCCCCCCTCTCCCCCCCTCAAAGGTACACTTTCACTGCCGGCAGGGAGAAATTGAGAGAGGGAAGAAATGAATGAAAAACTGACATCGGAAAGCTCAGTCTCTTCCCCGGAGGAATAATTCAATGAGTGTCGTCCCAAATGTATTAATATTATATTAGAAAGATGTATACACCAAACAAACCTCAAGTTGACATATGAGAGGGTAAAATCCGATTGGGGCGACTCTAGCAGCTTGCTTGAATAACCTTGGATCTGAAGCATATCGATGATGAGACTTTCAAATCCTCTCCAGAATCTCACTCAGACTTCGCTTGCAGTTTTACCTAGCCACTTTTTACAGTTCTAGACTTGACATAGCCTGCTTACCACGAGCCCAACAAGTGAAGTGTAATTCTCCAACTGCCTAACTGAGAACATCTGAGCATCTTCTGAGCATCTTCATCGCCTCTACCTCTTCATACCTTCCTCTAACAGATTTTCCCTGCGGTCTATTACTAGATAAGTAGCTCGAGTTGATTCTTGCCAAGATATACTTAGCCGTTCCCACGCCATGTTACTTTAGACTTTGCTACGGTAGAAGAGAAATTAGCAACTATAGTCGAAGCATCGGTGAGTCCTTGTTGATATTGGCAACTGATAATCTCTACCCCGGCAACGGCAAGTACATGACTATTCGTGGAGATGCCGGCATTGCAACCGGCTTTAGGGTGTATGTATGTGATGCGCGTGTGTATCGGCGTGTCGTCGTCAGCTGAGGCGGGGTGCAAGTCTTCGAACCCAAGCCATGGTTATCAATCGAGCGCAGTAAACCCTCATCCAAATGCCAACCCATTGGCAAGTGCAGGAGAATGATTCTTCGGCCAAATCAGTACGAGAACATTCTTGGAGTCCCACATCGCAACGCTTGCTATTTCTTCGGGCAGATCCAAATCAGTCACATGTGCAATCTGTGCACTTGTACATCAAGTCAAGAATCAAGATCTGTTGGCCAGATCGATAAGTGGTAAGAACGAAAAGTCTCTTTAGTAGGTAGAAAAGAAGATTTCGCATAAGGGACGATCTTTCTCTTCAGGCAAGAGGACGTGATGTGATGTTGAATGGAGAACCAGCAAGGGACCGGTGTCTAATTACCGTGAGATCTTGCAAAGTACGGTAACCGAGATGTATACCCACTCTGCCTATCAGGGGCTATGTAATTGATGCCAAGTAGATACCCAAGGATTGATCTGGGAAAAAGCAACCCAAGAATACTCTTCATCTCTAATATTATGCAGCCTAGCTTTATATTCCATTTTAAGATAAAACAAATGGTGTCATATACAATCATTGAGCACCGGTTCTTCTATGATTTATTCAAAACTTTGACAGGCAAAAAATAGATTTGATTCAAGCCTGCAGATTGCTTATCTCAACCATGCTCGAGCAATTCTATCCTCCTTGCACCTCTGCCGGTCGTGCAGGAAGAGAGCATCTGCCGGCGAGGCATCCCGCCGACTTGAGCAGTCATTGGGCATCTGCCAATCCTTGGATTATGGCAGGCATAATGCCATGCCATGTAAACAGGGCGAGCTTGAATCAAAGTGAACTTTAATAGATCACCAGCAGATTCGGATCGGCTTCCGCTAGTTAATTCCGAAGCATCCTTATATCGCACAAAATCGTTTCCAAGCCTTCAATTCTTCAGGAAATGCTTAAGGTTCAACTCAACTTTCTTGCACAGCCTACAACGTCAGCGCGGCTTTTCGAGGAAGGGTTACACCAAACACGATAGACGATGACCTGATGGCTTGCGGGGGAATATGACACATCTCAGATGAACAATACATTCAAGGGTGGTGTGTGGGAAGAAGAACCGCATTGGGAATCTCTCCGTACGGCACACTCTACATGCATGCCGCGACTGATGACGGTCTGGCGGGATCAAGGCTGAAGGGTGGTTACTCTAAGATGTGATCATGAGAGATAGAACATACTAGTGCAAGGTGACATAGTCTTGCAAGCCGAAAAGTGGATATTTAGACATGGTAATCTATTTAAGGTTGGAGGTAGCCACTTTGTGGTAATTTTACCGGACACTTACTGGCGAGAGGTGCGGTAGGAGCAAGTCTCGCAAGCAATACATTCTTTAGGTCAAAAGCCACTTAAAATTTCTCACAATCACTGAAGATAAATTGGACGGTTTGAACGGAGTTTTGCTTAAGGGTTTATGGTTCTAATTTAAGGATTGCGGAGGTTCCGGATCATACAGGTTAGTCTCTCCCGATCAGGGGATATACAGGTAGGAGGGTCCTAAGGTCAGTGCCATTACTGATCGACTGCTACTCCTTGTTGGGTAGGAGGGGCAAGCAGAGAAACAGAGTTTCTCAGGGTTTAGATCACTTTCTGCTCGCATGGGTAACTTGCTTTCATATATGGTAGCGAATCTATAATTGGGGAAGTTCTCAACTTTCTCATGCAACAGTTGTCTCATACAGTTGAAAATCGTTTATTGGACGTGCGCTTGAACTTTAAACGTCCACAGGCGTGATAGGTAGGCTTTCACTTGTGATCTTGGTCAATGCGGCCACGCTTTCTAAGCTACTGAGCAGGGTCTAGGCCTCTTCTTGTTGTATTCTGTCAATATATACTATTTTGTTCAAATATACATTGGGTCGCCGCCGTTGGTTGAACATTCTTCCGACTACTCAAGTATGTCTGATAATGTCCACCCTTCGACACGCGGTGTCCACTCGAGTTTTCAGTCAGATTCCACTTCCGACTCAGCAAATATGGACGCTGAAGCTTCAATTCCTCGGAAAAGCAGCCTGGCCATGCCAGCTTCCTCTTTTGGTTGTAGTCAGTGTCCTAAATCATTCAATAGGCGCGAGAATTTGAGTCGTCACATGAAAACCCGTAAGTGAGCATAGATTAGAATGAACCTCGGACACTAAAAAGCTTATTCACCGCTAACAAAATAACCTCATAGATGATGTTCCTCGGACTCATATTTGTCAAATATGTGAAAAGACTTTTACTCGGAGTGACTTACTAAAAAGGCATGAAGCCGGCCATGAACGATGGGACAAAAAAGAACCAAAGTCTGAAGGTCGGAGAGGATCGGTGAAGCGAAGGAAGACTTCTGAAGATCCTGAAAGCCACGATAACCTTGAAAACTTCAATTGGACGCCTACAAGTCGATCAGAATCAGCTCATCTATCTCCAATGCAAAGCCGTCCATCATTTCCGACGGAAACGGTAACGGCAAATTACTCAACTTCCTTTCAAGAGCCTACTGGGATAAATATACCGTTCCTCGAAGCGGCGCCTAGATCATTTGGAGCAGGCCAACAACTAAATATCAACAACGATGTACCCCAATCGATGCCAGTACTTGGGTTTTTACCCCAGGAGGCGCATTCTTTTACGCAGCAATACCGAGATCCGTACCAAGACATAACATTAGACCACCAATTTCCTACGAATCCTCTCGGTATAACGGGAAATTCTTATCAGATACCCTTCAGTCATACTTCCTATTTGCAACCGGAGAACAACCCAATGGGAAATACGTGGGTTTCTAATGACTTATATGCTACCATGGTTGAAACCGGGAACGAATGGGAAAATACTGGAAAGCTTTTCAATCAGAATGTTCCTGTCTCAGATTCTATACAGCAACATCTTAGCAATATCAAACTGGACAATTCAGGCCCAACTTCTACAATACCAGCTAACGAGCCCCGTTATGAATACCATCAACCTAAAAATGATATATTGGAATCTGGGCCAACACAATCTGCAAGTGTCGCAAGCGTTTCTTCGCCCCCAAATCTACCTTGGGGTGAAGATAAGTGGCCTTCTTCGTGGAATTCTAGCTTGAATCCAACTGGAATGTTGGAAGCTGATCCAATTGATCTACCATTTGATCATCCTCTGTTCCAAGACCATAACCCGAGATATGATATTTCAGAGTCGACGTATTACAAAATGCGAGATTTCTTGATATCTCCCGTTGACGAAGTTCCTAATAGAAAACCACTTTTTACAATGCCACCATTGTATGTGGTTAATATCTTCATTGAGCTTTACTTTAAGCATTTCTCACATCAAGCACCTGTGCTTCATCATCCTACCGTGGATACCAATCAACTTTCCCCGTCATTATTATCTGCCATGATGATTATCGGATCTACTTACAGTCATGTTAAAAATGGAAGACGATTAGCTATTGTTTTAATTGAAGTTATCGGTTGGCATTTGCTTGCCGCCATCCGGTTAGACATGAGCTTGATTCGAAATCCTATGACGATTTTTACCGAAGCCTTACTTATTCACATGGGGTTATGGTGTGGTAATAAGCGTGCATTCAGCGTATCTGAATCCTTTAAAGGGCATGCTGTCTCCCACATGCGTCGATTATACGAGAGTGAAAAGTCGAATACGCCAAATAGGTATTCGTCTGTGGATCAAATGGATCAAACATCGAAAGATCCACAAGTTCGATGGAAACGATGGATTAATGAAGAATCTCTTAACAGGCTTTACTGGGTTGTCTACGCAACTGATCGCCAATTCTCCGCGCTTTGGAATCAATCGTCAGCAATGACAATTGGTGAATTGGTAGATGTCAGCTGTCCTTGCGATGAAGTCTTTTGGTGTGCTTCCTCTGCTAGCGATTGGAATTTCGCGCTTGGATCTGCGAAGGTGCCACAATCTTTACCGTTTGCAGCTGCTATAGGACCTTTTCTTTTTTCTCCCACTCCATCCTCGTCCATACCCATCTTGGGCCATTTCTCGACAGGAGAGGAGCCTGTACTTCAACCCCTCCATCTTCCATTACCGAATCTTAATTCTTATACCGCATTTCTTGTTCTGCTCGAAATTCAACGTCAGATATTCGATGCTTCACAAGAATCTTTAGTTGCTAGCAAATTCATTAACAGTCAAATCTCATCAGAAATCTACGAAAGTCCACCCGGTCATCATCCTGCTTCATCTCTCTCACAGGCCCTCAAATCCCGCATTTCTGCGAGGAGACAAGAATTAGCCTGTACGTTGGTGTACTATATATCCCATTTCCCCATACTGATAACTAAACTAATCGAAATCCAGACACACTTAACCGCTTTTCCAAAACTTATTTACGACCTCACTTGACTATCCCCCACTCCACATCTCATATTTTCCACCATATATGTATCGTTCAACACCACATCACGAGTCTTTCTCTCCATGTTCCTTTTGCCGATCTATTGAATGCGATCGGAACATCGAGTCATACCAGTATTGTACATGCTCTAGAAAGACTGAGATTATGGGCACAAGAAGATCCAGAATTAGCTATTGATGTAGCTGTCCGAGCTGCTACTGCAATCATAGAATCAAATAAAGATCTTAATGTGGATGTGAGAGGCCAAGAAAAAGGAAGCGAGGCATCCAAAGAAGCAAAAAGCGATATGATAGACACAGGGGTTTACGGAGCTTCATTATTAATGATGACTCATGTCATTCTCTGGGCTTTCGCACAAGTTGCGGATAAAAAGCAAAAAGATAGTCTGATGAAAAGACTGAGAGGACACAAAAATACAGCAGATGACGCCTTTTTGGAGATATTGAGGAGTGAATTGATGGACCAGGAGGATAGTGAAGACTTCACCGGTAAGGGAAAGAATATAGATCCGGGAAGACCAAAAGTGAAAGGGGTATCGAGATCGCTATTCAAAAGTGCAGCAGATACGCTAATGCGGTTTGGGACCTGGGGAGTTGCGCTCGATATGGCCATGTTGCTACGCTTCAGGGCGGAAAGATAGGATGCGGAGGGGAAGAGGGTGCAGATGAATTCAAATAGAATCTCCTGGTATAGATGGTAACTGACAGCTGTATATTATACAATTTAGATCAAATATGGGCCGAGTGAAGCTATATGATGACTTCTCTAACATCTCGAGGGTTCCTGGAAGATATTACTCTACCTACCCTCGGAAATGTATTTTCATCTAGAAGCATTTACTAAATACATCATAAAACGTTTATTAATGACAAAAGCATGACACTCATACCCTTGATTTCACCTCCTCGCCATCTCCCTTCACATTCACCCTCTGCACCATCCCCAAAATCCTAACACCCACCTCCCACCAACTCCCCATCCCTTCATCAACCACAAACCCATTCCGTTCCCACGTCCTCACCGCTACATCCCTCGCATACAAACACACTAATCCCTTCCACTCCGGCACTGTCCCTTTTTCCTCCTCACTCAACGCCTCTTCCGAAAATCTCGGATTCTCCCCCGCCCATTTCAAAGCAGCTTTGATCAAAATATCTGCATACCCTTTCCCGCGATGCTCCTTCGAAACAGCCAATCGACCAAGTCGTACATAAGGCTCTATCCCATCGTGTAGAGTAGATACGGGATTAACTTTATAAGCAGGAGAGGGCTGGAAAAAGAACGTTGAGGAGGGAGGGATTTCTTCTGTGGGAGATCCGGCAATAATGCAAGTGTGGGGGAGAGGACGGAGGGTATCTGGATAGGGGAGGAGACGGAGCGTTCCTACTGGGATGTAGGCGTCTTGAGAATCTTCTGAGAGGGAACAAGGTGCGTAGATAACGAAATGCACAGAGCGCGCATCATCGTTATCCAGATGATGGATGAGTGGAACGGCGCGTTGTTCGTACACGTATACTTGTTCGCGCACGGAGCAGGAGTCTTTGAAAATGGGGATGTGGGAGGTGGAGGGGTGGGGCTGGGAGGAGGCGGGCAGACGACGATTCCAGGTGTGGAGGTAGGCGCGGGGGGGAAGTTGGATGGAGAGTTTGTGGGGAGGAGGGGGGATGGACATTGTGGTGGGTTGGAGGGAGGGCGAGGAAGTCAGTGGGGATTTGGTGGATGATGGATGATGGACAATGCCAGAATTGGAAATATAGGAATAGCACGTGGAAAATAGGTAAAAATAAGAGGTAGACGGAACAATTTATGTTAAATTGTTTCTCAGAATCATAATGAGTCATCCGGCCACTATCTGCGATTTGGAGAATGTGATACTGAAAAGACGCGCAGCTTACTCTGTTATGGCATGCACTAGCATGTTGTGAGTATTCAAAACGTTCATCGAATCTAGGATGTCCAGAATATTGAAGGAAATTAATGTTGTAATTACAAAATGGACTGCTGTAATCTATAATGTTCTAATGGACCCCAATATGCAAAGCTTCAGAATACCTTAACTCCCATCCTATGCATCCTATGCAATTCCTGTAAGTTATATCATGGTATCACCCAAATGACTCGCATAAATCCTGTTCTCCAAATTAGAAATTAGAAACCCCATATGTAAAAGAAGATTATGCCTGGATAAGATCAGGCACAGCAGGACCAACTCCCCTGAGCAATACTATACGATTGCCGCTAACCAAAGCATCTCCAACCTTCTCGTTGAATTCTAAAAGTCTTCCAGCTTCTACATGAAAGATTCTAAGCTTGTCCTTCTCATCCATTCCCTGATTATTAACATTTTCTACTTGAAGTGCCTTCGCCGCTGCGTCCAAAACTCGACCCATTACCCAATCTTTTGAATAAAAGAAAGCACCAGTAGGAAATTTCGAGGTCGTTGTCGCCGCTTCCGCGTCCACATTTATGTATACCCTCTTTTCCGGAGGTACTTTTGCATCTCCTTTTGCCGTCTTTTTGAGTTGGTTGACGGCTACCAGTCTTGCAGCTGCAGATGAAGGTTTCGGCTCAGGTAGGACTCGAGTTGATGCGACCTTTGCTTTTTGTGCTGCTCCCCAAGCCCTTAGTTTTCCAAAGGCCAGTTTTGCACTTGTTTGTTGTTCATTGAATCTGCCAACTCTTGCACCTATGGGTATAAGATTTTTACAATCGTGGTCTTCCCCCAATCGATGTTTGAGACAATAGTCCCGATTACAAATAGAGCAATGTACACCCGTCGATAAACTCGTTCCAATTGTCGTCTTACAAGTCGGTGATGCGCATGGCTTTTCAACATCTGCCATCATTTTCCCTTCGCCCAAAGAACGTTTAGATTGATTAGCTAGCCGACGTCTGGCCGCCCATTCTCCAGGTTTTGAACAATGATGACTTGTTTCTGTACGATGGTCGAGACAAAATGTTCCGCGACATGATTCGCAACGAAATGGGAGGAAATCTAGTTGATTGCAGTATTCGTATTGGCAATGTACACCAATTAATGTTGGGTCTTTTTCGTCCATGGTACTGAAGGATGTATCTTCTGGAGTTTCTGATCTTGATGAGGAGGCCATGATGAAGGATATGAATATATAAACACCTCGAATAGGCTTCCAATGCGTCGTACTATGGGCGGGCTTAAGGTGTGTAGGTGTTAAGAAGGAAATGAATTAGTGACGATGGCGAGGCTGATTATGAATGCACGTCTAGAGGCTTCTGGAATATGGCCTGGGCAAAACGAAGCTAACGTTACGTCAAGGCTTAGCGTCGGCCTCTAAACTTTCCGTGTATCAGAAAGGGATGCGAAATAAACTATCGCTCTCGAGAATTGCTAGAGCGAACAACATTAAGTGGTTTGAATTTCCTTGTGTAAACTATTCAAACGAGCATTCAATTGTTATGCCAATGATTACTTCTTGACCTTGAAATGGGGAGGTATGTTAGGTTTTCTCCAATAGCAATGGAACATCGCTAGGATGGATGCAGAAATGGACCATATGAGGATGTCCTGCAGGAGAGGAGGGGGCTCAGCCTCATCATGTGTTTTATGCTGAAAACTTGCAAACGTTGATTACTATTTCAAAAATTGAAAATATTACGAATAATCTTTTGCACGAACAAGCATTGATTACCAAGTCATTATTTCATGTAATTGGGAAGCTTCCGAGGCCCAGATAGCCTGGCGGGCTCACCATCATGGCTCTTGAAGTAATCGGTGGAATAGCGAGCATTCTTCAACTTGCTGGAACTGTCTACACGATATCAAAAACTCTCTACGAAGTGGGGGAAGCTTTATCCAATGCCCCTTCCGATATCAAGGATTTAGCAAGAGATCTTGAAACTTTCTCAGAGGAGCTTCGTCTGTTATCCACACTACTTCACGGTAAAGATGGTCGCTATGCAGATCAGGTGTATAGGCTTACAGCTAAAATCATTGGGGATTGTGCGACGATATGCACGAAAATCGATCGAATTATCCGAAAATTGAGAAGTGGCAGTGTTCTGGCCAAAATTAAATGGTTGTATAAAGAAAAGGAAATTATGAAGTTGTTGGCGAGACTCCGTGACTTGAAGTTAAGTCTGATGGGTACATTGAGTGTATTGAGTGCACTAAGAGCCGATAATATGATGGACTCTTTGGGTATAAATAACCCCAGTTTGATTGGAGGCCCGAACAGGCATGGTCTATCGACAGAGACACGCATGCAAGTGGAGGACACGAGACTGAAACTGGCCGGCATGTCGATGAAGGATACTACTGGAGCCTCTTTGGGGTCAAAAACTATGTTATCATCAAGCGCATCTTTAGTTTCGGGAAACTCAAGCTCAACTTTAAGTACATCGGCTACATCGACAATGCCCAGTGCAACCAGTTTTTCTGCATCCTCATTGATTTCAATGGCAGTGATGCCAAATAGCATGCCGCCAATCCTGAACACTCAAGCAAACCAGTCTGTTGATTCCTTCCACAGCGCCTTATCATATCAAAATCAAGACTCACAGGATCCAGAGATACAGCAAAGTTTGACACCTACTGACCCATCTCATGCGCTATCATCATCATCAACATCATCGTCTCTACGACAACCCACACCTTTACAAGAGACAACAAATCCGATTGCTAAGGCTTGTCATGAATGTATAAAGAATAAGCGAAATTGTGATGGAAAGGAGCTTTGCAATAAATGCCTCAGCCAATCGGGTAGTGGCGATGGTGAAATCACAATGCTGCAGCTTGATACGACGCATGGAATGTCACCTTCTCAATCTGACCAGTTGGTGGCAAAGAATACTGGATTGAAAGATATCTGTGATTATGGTCCATTGGAGAAAGATTCTGGCCCAAGAGATGGCGACGTAAAACCGACAGATGAGCAAATGAGTAAGTATTTAACCTTCAATCCCCCAAGCTCTGCAACATGTGATGCGTATAGCGTTGTTTGAACATGGGCTAACATGACGAAATGTCAGAACAAGTGGAGAGCTTCCTCAAACCAGAAGATTCTAATCATGCACCTGTGATACCACATTCTGTAATGGTATCTGATAGACATAGCAAACCTTCATTCTCAGCAGAAGAGAGCCGTCAACTAGATACTTCATCAGTATCAAGACCTCTCCTGAGCTGGAGAAATGAAATGGCTCTTTCAGCGATGAAGCATTTCAACATGACTATCAAAGATGCTGAGGAATGGGCAAACAACTTGCCAATTCCTAGCAACCTTTCGGCAATCATGGAGCCTACCGTTCTAGCAGACATCTTGCCCCACCCAGAAAACGCAAATAAGCCTCAGAAACTATGGAAAGGCAGACTTGGAGCAGGCTGGAAATCATGCGCAGTGCCTCTAGGAAATCCTGTGGATTTTCAAGCCTCCATGGGTTTCGCTTATCTGAAAACATCTACAAGTGGAAGTGACAATGATGAACTGTCAGAGCGCGACCACCCCAATTGTCTTCGTCGTAGCGGTACTCAGAAACCCCAATATTCAAGCGATCCACTCGTTCCCACAAAGAAACAAAAGCTCGTTTCAATTGCCCGTTCTGACTATAGCGGTTCGGATGACGGCAGTACCGTTTCAAGTGACGGCAGCACCGATTCAAGTGTTGTACCTCAGCAAAACCAAAACTTCACTGCCGTTCAAACAAAACTTGGGCTTGAAATGATGCAACAACACCAGAAGCTGCAGTCATCTACTCAACAAACTCAACAAACTCAACAAATTCAAACGCAACACCAACAACAGCAACAACTGCAATCTCAACGACAACAGCAACAGCAGCAACATCAGCAGCAGCAGCAGCAGCAAATGGCTCGGCTGTCTCCCCACCGACATCTCGAAACTACCGATAAGATCACCGGGGTAGATGTTGAGCGATGGTGTAATGTTGATGCGTTACCAAGCATAGAAATTCCGGCTAACATGCCATCTGGATTCTATGAGCTTGAGACTGGAAATCTGTTACCCAAGCCACAGCCTCAGGAGATTCAAATGCAAAGCCAAGAATCACAGGAAGCGTATAAAAGAGATGAACAGTCTTCTTATCCGTCTATATCACCTTGTGGCAAGAGCGAACCTCGCAGACTCATGGACTTGCCTCCAGATTATACTGATGATATCTCGGGACAAGCTTTTAATTCACCGAAAAGTGATACACCGAATAACATGTCTACTTTCCATTGCCAGAATGAAGTTTCTATCAAGGGCCTAGGTGGGTTTTGGTTCAGGGGTCTCATAAATGTTCAGTCGTTCAATGCTGTCACATGGAGTAATTTACAACAGTACTTGAATCGGGAGCGCGTTTACACTACCTCAGAAGCAGTCTCGAACCCGTTTGTTGCCAATTCAAACTGGTCTGCAAGTCTCTACAAAGAAAGGATTGCTCTACGCCTTCAGATGCTTCCGCGTGCTGCTAGCTCTATCCAGAAAATATTTGATGTGATAGCTGTGATTGAAGATACAATCGGCCTCAAAATTGGAGCTATTGCATGGGCATGTCTTCTGGGTGCCGTCGAGGTTTGTTGATTTGTATCAATCAGACAACTGCAAACTAATCAATTTTTATAGAACTTGCTCTCACATGGTCCAAACTGGACAGTCGACTCCCAAATTAGAATTATCACAGAAATGAGCGGAATTGTTAGCATAATCGCTCGATATACCGTCATGGAGAATATTTACGCTCAGTGGAAAGGAATGAGTCTTGATAAAGATTACGAACAATCTCTTATCAATCTATCCACTCATGTTTTGATCTATCTTGGAGCTTTTGTTCCGAGTATCTCAGAGAGTAGCACGAATGCCGATATGAAGCCCTATTTTGATAAAATTATCGAAGCCGACACGGTATGTCGCGGGTTCACGGTTATTGTGAGCGCCGAGAATACTACCATCGATCGGAAACGCTCATTTCAGGAATTTTCGGATGATTCGGACGACACTGACGATTCAGAAAGGACTATCTTAGGAGTCGATGTTAATGATGAAGTGAATAACATGCCATCGTCAGCAAAGCGCATTAAGTTATAGGAACGGGATTTTGTTTGGGATCGTAAATTTGACGTGGAATATATACTCTTGTTTATGTTGTCATCATATCTCGTACCTATATTTGCTGCTAAATTGCCTCCATTATTTGTGTCTTATTAATACGTACACTTATCATATGGAAGAGATGGATCCAACATCGCTTGTGAAGAAGAGTAAAATGAAATCTTTTGTGAGCGAAACTCGTTCATCAATTCGGGCAAGGAAGAGTCTCAAGATCGAGGTAAGTGCACTCACTATACCAAATAATTACAACGATTGTCATTCTCTGCATAGTAGAACCTCACATTAAATTCCCGAGAACAGAGTTTGCTATTCCAAATTGCTCTTCCAAGCGATAGCAAAAATAAATGAGACATCAATTGTCTAATCGATCATTACGCTCACCCTTCATTTCCCCTCCATACACCACTCTCAAGACTATTAACATAGCCTTTGAAACCCAAAGCTCTCTTCAGTGCCACCAATTTAGACCTCGCTCCCCTCGTTCTAACCCTTTTGCAATCAACACAAACATCCTTATCCTCGTGATTCCAGGCATAACATCTCAACTATCAAGATTCATCAATTAGCATTGTCTCCAAGAAACAAAAGTAATAAGCGACAGAAACAAAACATACCATGCCCTCTTCCAAATCCTCATTCGGCACACACTGCCACATCTCCCTCATTTCCTCCTTATTCCCTCCAAAATAATCTATAGGTCTTCGAAGCGTCTGTATAACTCCAGAGAAGTCGAGGTCGATGGGAATGGCAGGTGGCCCTGGAGCTCTGAAACGCTGACTTTCAATGTCGTCATGTGCGTAGTCCAAAGAATTTAATAGTGGTTCTGCTGGTGGGAATCCATTTACTGGATGACTTCTGCATCGCGGTCTCTGTGTCAGTGTGGAAGTCGATCCTGGATTTGCGTTTGGCCGTGGATCTTGAGTATTCGAATATGGGGTTTGTGATTCATTTACACGGTGTTCAAAGTAGGGAATAGAGTATTGATCGTAGGTATCACTGGTTCTGCGATAACTGCCTGCGAAGCTGTTGTCTATATCGTACTCTAAATGGTTTCTTGGGTTTTGGGTGCTGGAATACTGACCCTCGAGATCGATTTCACGGTCTCCATGGCGTCTTTGGTGAATGAAATTATTGAAGTAAGGATTTTGATTTCCGAACTGGCTTCTAGCATTATTTTCCTCTTGTGTGAAACTACCGGGAATGGAAAATTGAAGTTCTGGATTACTGGTACTGCGATGTCTTTGTGTGGGTGTATTGGAGAGGGTTTGTCTTGAATTTTGCGTAAAGCTTTGGGTATTGGGACCTTGAATATCATAATTCTCGACTGCGTACAATGAGGGAAAATCCCGGTCTTCAATGCCGTCGTGTTGACTGGAATGTTGGTCTCTTGGATGGTCGGTACTATAGTGCATTTGAGAAGAAGGGTCTTGGAAGCTGTGGATGATAGATTGCTGACTCTGTTGGCTCTCTATATCATCATTTGCCCAACGGAGAGGGGAGAGAGAAATCTCTTGAAGTTTGAAGGTGAATTCACATCTGTGGTGGGCATGGCTAATAGTTCGTCGCTTGTCTTTGGCTATTATTGGTTTAAGGTATTGTCGTGAAGATGTAGATACAAATCATGCAGCTGTTGCTCTGAGAAAAAGTCGAAGGTTCAAGGATTAGGTATTAAATCTTTATCCAAGTCTCATACGGTGTGTATACGGTTATGAGAATAAAGGTGAGGGGTCGGCTTCATGTCGTAAATTGAGGGGAATCTTGGATAGTATCTGAATCATTCAATACATTAGAGAAATACTAATCTGTTACACAGCAGTACTTATGAATACTCAAAATCATCTAGATTATTCAAATACAACTTTTTTCATCCTCCAAATACATAACAATAACTTGACTAAATACCGAGCAATGCGCCTTTTGTCGTACTTGCCAACTGTAATCTCCAAAACTTTTGCTCGGCACACAAAAATACTTCCCCATCCTTTCCAAAGCAGAAGTTTGCTACGCCGCCAGGAACTAAAATGGTGCCGATTAAAGTCCCGGCTGGACTCCAGACCTCCACACCATCGCCACAGCCGGAGTATACATTACCGTGAACATCACATTTGATGCCATCTGGGAAGCCATCAACTGCATATGCAAAAACTCTTCGGTTGATGAGAAAGGGTGCGCCTGATGTCATGTGAACATCAAAAGCATAAATTGTTGCAGGACTAAATCGAACTCAGTGAAAGATCTATGGTTGTATGATGAAGAGACATACCGCGTTAAATCCTCGTTTCCATCTCCATGGATTTGATCTGTATCCGTAATATAAACCAATGACTCATCCGGTGAGAAAGCAATTCCATTTGGTCTACCAAAGCCATCTGCCACAACTCTAATATCTCCCGTAATAGGATCGAATCTATATACTTGGCAAGGGAGTTTAGGCTTTAATCTAAAATCTTGCTCCCATCCATAGCATGGATCTGTGAACCAAATGCTGCCATCTTTAGCCACCACGACATCATTTACAGAATTGAAATGTCTTCCGTGAAAGTTCGTCACCATAGGTTTCGGGGGTGAAGATCTGGGCATATGATAAATACCACCTGAGCCTGCGCTTCTATTTCCTTGAGCACAAAATAGAATACCATCTTGATAATTAACACCGCCATTTGGCATGTCAATGCCTGGTGGTGGACGCATTTTAGCCCACTCGGCAGATTTGATACTTCCGTCGTCATTGCGATGGAGCTTAATTCTAGATATCAGAATAGTTGGGAAGTTTGCGGAACTGGTAGCTTGTAGGAGGTTTGATGTGACATAGAGTTCATCATGGTCGGGTAACAAAACACAGGCTTCGTGAAAGAAAGGGTTGTTGGTTGAGCCAGCAGTAGAAAATAGAAGTGCATGCGATGGGGCTTCGCCAATCAATGAGGCGAATGCAGAATCATGTTGAAGAAGAGTGACTTGGTCTGAAAGACCATATGTGGTACTAGATGGCAACGTGTCAGCATCAATTTTATTGACGGAGCAACAAAGACTAACGTAACACTTTCGCTGCTTGCCTTTAGTTTGTCAACAATCTAATAAAAAGTGTTAGTGAGTAGCCAGAGTGCAATATGGAAGTTTAAGATTACCTCTATCTTGGTAGGCACACATGATATAGCAGTATTGGTTACTGCTGCCATTTTTGCGCCTCTGAAGTTTTGAGATTGATATGAATTTCAAAGCGTCGTAAACACCAATGTGAAAGATTCCTAGTGTGCGTCGGTATTGAAGCTTGTTTGGTCCTTTTTTGGTTAAATGAGGTCTCGAATCTTGCTAGCAATAGTAATGGAAAAGGTGGGGTGGTGATGTCTGCGAGCCATCGGCCGGTATTTATCCGAGACATCGCGGGGGAATTTGGAACGACAACGACCAAAAGCTCGCCCGAATGATCTTTGAGTAGAAAGCATTTGAATATGATCACCTTCCTGGCCGAACATGTTGAGGTTTATAGGAGTTGACTAACACCAATGTTTACGCGGGCTTCAAGAAAGACAGGAGTTTGCGACAAAAATGTGCACAGCTAGTCTGGAAGAATATTCCCTCAAGATATAACTCTTCTTAAAATGCCATTTCATTGCTCTATAGTATGCTATCATCTTCAGTTAACAACTGAGATTATTTGAGAAGTTTGTAGCGCGAATCATGAGTCTATGTCGATTATCCTTCCGTTTACATTGGAGATTCGACAGTTTTGCGGGATTCGTTGGAGGAGTATGGTATGTTAAGAAAACACGACTACGAATCATCATCACGTTTCCCATGCTACTTGCGCAAAAGCTTCAGAGAGATAGATGATAGGAGCAGTAGGTAATAATCCCTTTGACGAGTATTCTCGTGTTTAGCATTAGATTTATTTTTGGGAAATTCAGACATTGATTCCTAGTTGAGCTGCACCAAAATTGAACCAATTATGCCGTTTCATACGCACGAACAAAACAAGAAAGAGAGAAATGTTCGCTTCGCACTATTAAATTCTCACCCATTCATCGCTACCGACTTCAAAAGCAATAACAAAACAAGAGACGAAAGGGAAAGTTGCTGTTTCCTCATCACATGTGTACTCATTCCAACCTTACTACTCCTTTTCCTTTACATAGCGCAAATCAACCCCACAGCCACTGCTAATGTCAAACCTAGACTCAAACTGTACATAACCGGAGTCGCGTTCGAGGTGGTTACCTCGATTGGTCCTGTCGTCTGCGCCGCCGTGCTATCCTTAGTGCCAGTACTACTTCCAAATACTGACTCCCCAGCCTTAGAGCTTGTACTACTTGGCGATGTTGATTTCCAATTATCAGCTCCGGTACTGCTCGCCCATGAGGAGTCCCAATTGTCAGCCCCGGTACTGCTCGTCCATGAGGAGTTCCAATCATCAAACTTTGTACTACTCGCCCATGTTGACTCCCAAGTACTAAGCGGTGTTGCCGTCGTACCACCTACTACTCCAACAGTTGTAGTTTGCCAAGCAGTGGCAGTGGTTAAAATACTCTCAAGGCTGTACACACTATCTAGTATGCTCAGAGCATTATCGACATAGGACTTTGCGTCTGGAGACAGTGAGGTATACCAGTCCGGCTTGTTGGTACCGGAAAGTTGTTCATCTAGCTGCGAGACTCCTGTTGGAGAGTATCCAAGGGTTGAGGCCGAGGTGGGAATTTTGGAAAGTTCGGAGGCAAGAGATGAAGGGATATCAAGGGCAGTGGAGAGAGCGGAGAGACTGGAGACTATGCCAGAGCTGCGTTGAGATACGCGTGTCAGTCAGAGGCCATTTAACGGAGATAAAAGGAGAGCAAATCAGAAGAGGGAAAATTTGACGTGGAATCATAGAGAACTTACACTACAGCCGCCTGACTTGCATCCAATGCAACGTCTGGTACACCAGCCTGGTTTGGATCAAATGGATAATCGGCGACAGCATCTTTATTATCATCCGATGGATAATTCGCAAGCACCGCAGTGCAAAGACTCGCCACCATTACCAAAATATTGATATGCATACTTGCAATTCTGAACGATACGTTACTGCTCCTATCCAAGTTAACTTGCTAGAGGTAAGATATTTAGAAAATGATGTTTTGAATTCGAAAATCTGTTGGAATTTGCAAGTGAAAGACGAAGAACTTCGGAAACAAATGAAAGGATATTACGAAACTATATGCATATTGAGATTTATATTCTTTCTTGCAAACATAGATGTTTGGGATAGCTCATCACGAGCTGCATTAACCGCGTTTGCTTCCCACATTGCGTACCCCGCCATGCCGTGCATTCATCCCCGGTGCATAATTGTCGTTTCGGCTTGATCGACATGCATTCTTATTCCGAAAAGAACCAAAACTGATTCAAGCCTCAAATACTCTGGAGAAGTCGTCGTAATGAGAGACTCTTGGTTAAGACACGGTTCGACAGCAATCATTATAGCTTACTAAATTGAATTTAAAATGCGCATAGCTCAATATCAGCAGAGAATTGAATCACATGCATGGTTAGATACATGATTCAATCTCACTTTTACACGGAAGTCTGTCAAAACTGTATCGCTAATATGATCATTGTTCTCCTTATTCTCTTCTCGCTTCATCACTTCATTTCCTTCACGGAAATAAGACTAGATTCTTCAGTCTCTCCACAATCTTCTCTTATCCGTGTACTCAATATTCCACGAATTCTCAGTCAATCTGCGTTTGGCAGTTTCGCACAGTCAAACAGCGCAATTGATTAGTTTTATTCATACCCCTTTTCCTTTCAAGCATTCACATGGGTGACTCAGTCGAATAGTCTTTGGAGAGACCGGAGCTCCGCTTGACGCATCACTGCAACTTTCGGTACTTGACATGTTCCCCCACACTATACGTAATCTAGTAACACAAACATTACGTGTGTTTGCACCACCACTTATTCAGAAGACCTTCGTGGGATGATCATAGTTAGAGGTAGGGCGATGATCTGAATCTACTGGACAGTCTGCCACATCTAGGTGATGATTTTTGTTTCATTCAGTGTTACGTGTTTCGTATTCGCTTGCAGCTTGATAGAATGGAGTATCATGGGGTAGTCCGTAAGCTGACGCAGAAGTCTGCCGAAGTTTCTATTGATATCTTCTGCCGTCTTGGGATTTTTTTGCCGTATGCATGATTGAAACTTATTGGAAAGACCCTTCGATGAGGCTGTAAAGGTTACTAGAGCACAGAGCTCGAGCTTATTAAAACAATACCTTTCACTTCTGATATACACAAGTCAATCTACAGTGATTCAGGAACACAACAACACAGTTGGTACTGCACGCTCCTTTCTAGCTCGATGATGAATGTTCACCAGAATTAATTTCGATTAATTTCGTGCGCAAACATCCAGTTTCAATCCTCCAAATTTTAGAACATAATACATAATCCACAAGCTAGAAGTTGGCTAGAGTTATGACAGAACTGTCAAATCAGAATAGTATCATGCCACAATGATTTTTCTATGCAAGTGGTAACATCACAGGACAGCTAAGAAAGGGGGGTTTTCTCACTCATAATTAGAATGTCAGCGGATGGAATACCAACATACCGTCATAAATACTGAGTCTGGAAACCCCGTGGTTGATATAACTATAGTATCTTATTGAATTTTATATCAGATCATGTTTTTTCACATCCTTTTCATGTTTTCAATATGATGCCCATGTCGATATCAGAACCCTAGAATGAGCTCCTACTGGTAGCTCGCTGTGGTTTCTTGATCCATTTCAAACTCTTATGCGATATCTGGTTTCTATTACTATCATTGTCGCCCAACGATTATCTTTTCGTTTCGATTCTTGACAACGCCGTTCTTTATGTGTCTTGAGTGCAGTTATGATTGCTGTCTGGCAGTTCGATTTTATATCAGTAGAATTTCATGAACGCTTGAAGCAGGCATAATGAGTGGAAGCGTAGCGTCTCCGATGTGGGTGGTAAAAATAGAGGATACAAAAGCTCATAATTAAAGGGAAGAGTGGTCAAACAAGAAGAAGGAACATCAGTGATTGATTTCAAAGTACTCGAAAAAGATATGGAAGTGTTAGCTACAGAAGGTCACGCGATCAGGAGGCCTTTCGCTCACACCAGAATAATGATGGGTTTCTTTGCTCTTCACGTGATTTCTACATTGTCACATGTAACAATACGAGAAAAATTCGAAGATGATGAGATATTACGGTGCTTTCATATGTTGCATGGGTTAAATGGGATAGGACAGGAGCTACACTTTCCCTATCCAACAAGATACCCTTTTACGTCAGCGCTCAAGCTTTAATTTATCCTACTCTTCAGCCGAATCCTGCATTTGGGTCTTTAGTCCGAGGATCGGTCTGCTTTCCCAAGTTTTTTACGTAGGGTAGTCTAGATAGGTCGTGTAAAACGGTCGGCTATGGACGACCATCGGTTGACTCGGGCTGGGTTGGACAAAATATTCCCTCGTGGTTGAAGGATTTGGGTCGATTGTTTACCAGAATATTTGTTGGATTGAATCGCTTTGCTATTTTTGGACATTTGATTGTAAATTGACTGGACTGATTTGGATTTTCAGATTCCAAAATCTAAATCGAAGACTTCCAAACCTAGATTTTGATCCCCAGTATTCAACTGAATTTTCAGCCTCACATTTGAAGCACAAAATCCAAAGGTATATCATTTTCTTTGGGCAGAAATCGGTTATAAGTTCCGAGTTTCGTGAAATAACATTCATAAATAACTATTTATAGTTCTTGAGAACCATTTTTTCGTTCCTTCACGGGCCGGGTCATGGGTCTGGTCTGGAAGGGAAAATGTGGTTAGAGCGCAGAACTCACCCTTAGCGAGAACCGGCTCCAGCGACCTCGTAGGTAACCGACTTCCCAGCATTTTGTGATTTCAAACACATCTCCTAGACTTTATCCAAATATAAAACTATAAATATCTGCATCGACCAGTTGTTATTTCAGATACAGACTCATAAATTCTCTCATCTTAGCTCAAACTATATACAAGTCGTTCATTGTTTTAAAGTAAAATCACATTATAACTTCCAGATAAATTTGACAAAATGCCAGCATCCAATCAAACAAGTAACACTCGAAAGAACAGCAGTTCTAATACAGGCTCTACTGCAGCTCCTAGAAAGACTCCAAAAAAAACAAAAGACTATTTCTGGCAGCAGTAATCAAGCCACAACAGCAAACTTTATCGCCGGAGCACTTCGAACCACTTCCCCAGAGCCAATTGATCCAAAGGCCCCAGCCCAAGAACTACCGACAAAGAAAGAAAAACGGAAGAATTTAAGATTATATCAGAAAGTAAAGCGAACTTCGTTGCTCAACTCGACTCTCGAGAATCATCCGAAGAAAGATGTTTCTGCGATCAACAACTTTGGGATTGAAAACAGCACCCGAACAGATCTGAATCTCTGGGATAAAGTGAGCAAAGTGTTCTGGTTGATGATCAAACGCTTTGGTTAATACAATTGGAAGAACGGAGGAGAATCTCCACCTCGGATCGAAGTCTTAGGGAGGGGAAATTCTGCATGTAAAAAGATGGAGGTAATTCGCTAGCACTCTTTCCTTGTTAGGAAAGCCTTTTAAGTAGATTAGTGAGATAGAGAATCGAAAACACTCCAGCATCTGTAATCCCGGCTATAAGCTTCACACAGTCGTTTCCATCCCTTGAAATTTTGCTCAATCTTATGTTGTTTGATGTTACAAAAGTGAGCCGTAGGAAACACAAATCTACATGTTTTGATTGATCTGTCTCCTAATTACTCCTCTTCAGTGATCGTTTGTTTTGTAACAGATAAAGGTGATTTTCATGTAATCAACTATTATCAAATATCTCAATACGACCAGGTTTGTTACTTCAAAGTCCCTCAAAATCCACTGCATTTTCAAAAAGCTTATGCTGAGGGGACGAGACGAGGAAGATATGATAGCGGAAGTAAAGATTGACAATACATAATAACACGGAACGAAGCGCTACCAGTCGTGGAAGTTCTATATGAGATGAGTGCTGAAACATGTGTCGTGCACAACTAGTCCTTCCGCTGATAATATCTACGATGACTGAAACAATAATTGCAAGTGAAGACGAACAAGCGAAAGAGGAGCTAGGATACAGTGGATATAGAAGTCTTTGGGGAGATAATCTGCAATAGAAACAAATAATTTATGATATTGACAAGAGTAATGAGATTTGACAACACTGGAGTTCAAAAAACTGAGGAGAGGAATCAAGAACCTTCGAGCAGAAAAGCTCGACCAAGGAACAAATTGCCAAAACACAAATCGTAAACTAAAACGTATCTAAGGTCCTGATAAGACTCAGAAGAGCGATTAATTTCATTACCTAGAAGAAGACCATGATATAGAACATTATATACACCTCCTAACAGCCCCCACACTTGCTTAGACACACCATTACCCGGCCTCTAATTGATCCAATCCAAAATCTCAAGATCTATACTAAAAGAACCAGCATTTGCTTGAAATTATTCAGTAAAGCCACCAGTATCTTTTTCCTTATATGACGCTCTTGTACTCGTTGTTTTTTAACTGTCAAAAATAATTTAAACTCTGGCGCCAGAAATGATATCATCGCTTGCAATCAAACTAATCATCTTTTTCAATACTTTATCATTTACAAGAGTCAATTTGCAAGTGCGAATGAGACCCATAAGTACAAAAATCAAAATGAATCCGATAACAAGAGACAAAAATATTGATAGAGATGACAACGACATCGAAATCAAAACAGATGGGTGACAGTAAAAATTCGGGATAAGATCAAACGAAAAGTAAACCCAAAAACCACTTTGCTTCTGTCAAGAAAGAGCAAAGCGATAGATAGATCTCGAAATGTTGAGGCGAGCGTCACACTCCTAGACATTAATTTCCAGAGTATGACATTCTTTACTTGAAGAAAACAATAGCACTTTTGAGTTTTTATAACCACCGTGTAAGAGACCATGCGCCTACGTCTACAAAAAGAATGCCGCACTCGCCTTG